ATAAAGTAAGTAGGATAAGCTCAAGTATAAAATGATTGCAAAGAGAGTTAATCACATAGAGTCGGACAATTCCGGTTATATATAGTTATAAATAAATTAATACAAGTGATATGTGAAATGAGATGTAGATAGAGATGATCTGAAAATTTGGACAGCAGAGATATTGAGTTATTTATAGTGGATCCAAATAAGACTATGTCTGGATGATAACTCACAAGTTAACTGATATAACGCTCTTTGGTAGGTGGACATACATGGTCAATCAGGTAAGCGACGTGCCAATGTCTTCGGATGGCTACGGTGACCTAGTCCATCAGTGGCAAGCATAAGTTAGCTAGCTAACTTTTGCAAGACAAGTTAAGTTAGTTGACTAACAATTCTCCCGATCAAGGTGGGTATGTTGATCTTGCAAGTCAAGTTAATATTATTTGTCATATATACAATAAATAAATAAAACATATTATTAATCATTTAAAAAGCAAGACCCCCTTAACAGTATTCCTTTTAAAAAAAAAAAATTATTTGACAATCATATATAATAAATTTTAATTAATTTACATTAAATTGATTGTTTAAATCTTATTATTATATTTTCTTAGTCTAATATATGGATTTAAAAAAAAAAAAAAAGGCACTTTTAGAAAATGTGAAACATTTTATTCTCTTTGCTGATGGCTTTTATAGTCATTGCTGGATAGGAAGATGATATCATAAAAAATATTTTGTAATTAGTATGGAATATTTAATTGAAAACCAATGGGGCCCCAAGAAAGGACTTGATGATGATAGATCACTTAAGAATTATCCAGAACCTCGAATCACTATCTTTCACAGAAAGTGTCAAGTCACGATCATATTAATATTATATTGTCCCGCGCGTTATTGTAATTGAATATGACGAAGTTCAAAGCTAGCTAGTCATATCAACACCATCAATACACCTTTAGAATGTTGCCAACAGAAAGTTGAGAAGGCAATCATACCATCCATTTGCCACAAGTGAAGGAGGTATCAGCTCCTTAAGCGGTTATTTCTGTATATATCTCAAGAATATAATCATTCTCACGAAATAGATATGAATATATGATATTAAGGTTTAAGTTATAGATCATAATTTTACAAATACAATAAAGGATATCTTAAGTAAAAACACAAAATATGAATCTATAATAAAACCGGCCTTCACTATATGAAAAGTCTATATATAGATGATAGATCGGCTAGCAATTAACATTGTTGACTCACAAAATAGTATGGAGTAATTAAAAAAAAAAAAAAGTTATTTCAAACTGAAAACTTTAGGCTGATTGAAAAATGTGAATTACCAATATTAGCCAACTTTATACTTGTACAATATATATAATCATCTTATAGTAAACTTGATCTTTAACACTATTTAAAAAAGTCTTTGAAGCCTTTTGATTTTTTGTATCCATGTTTTCATATAAGCATATATACCGGCAGGACCTATATATTCTCCCTTTGCCAACTTGTCTAAAAGGATTTTTAGGCCCTCCTGCATAGTTGCATTTAGGGCTTTTGGGTCTTGTGTCCAATATTTTTGCCCTTATTAGTTTGTACTCTTATAACTTTAATTAAAATTAAAATTAAAATTAAATTCGACTCAATTTAAAATTTAAAATTTAATTATTAGCATATAAATGACGTGAACTTCATTAGTCTCGATACTAATAAGAAGATTAGAAGATATTATATTTTGTCGTATTATGTACAATTGCACTAGTACATATATATTACTTCAAACATATAACATTGATATATAGAGACGAACTTTAGTATTTATTATTCCGGTATCAAATTTTGAGGAAAAAAATATTGTTTATTTTTTAACCACTTAATATGATCAAAATGTCATGCAGTTTAATTTATCTCAAAAGAAGGCGGAGCTGAATGGGAGAAGTATCCTGACACGTGATTTTTCTAGTGAAATTTACTTCTTTTGTGTATTATTATACATGAGCGGAAATTACTCAGTACACATCACTCTTATGTAGTGGCTAAGGTCTGAAGTAACTGAATAATTATTTAATTAGAGCAAGCTCAATAGTTTAGGTTTTTGCTTAGTTTTTGTTAGTCTAAGTAGGAAAGAGAAAAGAAGAGGGAAGAGGGAAAAAAAAAACTGACAAAAGCTGTTTAAAAAAAGAACATGGAATCACGTGCCAGTCGTTATATTATAGACCGCGGTGCATGTGCACCGCGGTCAAAAACGACGCCGTTTCTTTAAGTAAAGAAACGGCCCACCGTTAGAGTTAACGGAGTCCGTTTGTTTGGTGTATTAAACACCAACTGACACTACAGTATATCTAAACCGACACTGCAGTTATATCAAAATGATACTGTAGTTATAGTGAAATGAAACTGCAGTGTATATAAACTGAAACTGAATAACATTTCACATATTTGAGTATATATTGTACAATGAAGCTGTAATTATATCAAAATAATCATGTAGTTGTGTTTTAATGAAACTATAGTGTATATAAAATAAAAATTAAATAACATTTTCACATATTTGAGTCTATAAATATCGAATGAAACTATAGTTATATCGAAATGAAACTGTAGTTGTGTTCAACTGAAACTGCAGTGTATACAAAATGACACTGAATAACAGAGTTACTTTTTGCAAAAGGGTGCGAAACGGCGGAAATAAACACTGTTAATTTTCATTTAAAAAAAAGACGCGCGGTGCATAATCGATTATGCACCGCGGTGCATAATATAATTTGCCATCACGTGCCCAGTTGGCTGGGCGCAAGAGTGCACAAGACGCACGACTTGCACGTATTTGTTTTTATTGAATGGGATCCACAAAAAATTATATTTACAATAATAAAAATCATGATAAAACCTCTCTTCCCATTTCTTAAAAATATAATCCAACCCAATTTTTTTTCTCTGCACAATACATGAAAAAACCATCTAATGGGGATGCTATGATATATAGCATCTATATATGTACTAAAAGAAAGCCAAATTCCTTCAAAATTGTCAAATCAACCATCGAGAATCTTCACAAATTATTGGGATAGAAATCATGTTAAAGTATTTGTCATCTTCAAGAAAGGGAAATGCTAATCAATATTTCTCACTTATTTTCTTTTTATTTATGACAATTATATTTATGAATTGATAGACAACACTCTTCTATTTACAAGTAATACAACATAACCTACAAAATTAAAATAAAAGAGAGAAAAAAACCTTCAATTTTATTTTGATGTGACATTTCAAATAATAATAATAATAATAATAATAATAATAATAATAATAATAATAATAATAATAATAATATCCAAGGTCATCCATGGAAGTAGAGGTTATTATGGCAATGGACAAATTAAAGATGGTCATCTATGGAGGAGGTTATGGCAAGAAAGCCAAATTAAAGCTGCCATGGCAACCATCTTTCTCCAGCCAAGACCTAACAAGCTTTGACAAACACTATTATTATAAATTTTCAAATCGAGGTCACTTTCTATTTAATAATTACTATCAAATAAAAGTACATTCAAAATTATGGTCATTATTTGTAGTAGATTGCACATTAGAATGGTGGATAATTTAATTTGTAGGGTAAACCCTATCCATGCATTCATATTATTGAACACAAACAAGCTAAGCATTACATACTATACATCCAATGCTTTGAAGATTGCAAGCTAGTATCTTATTTATTTATTTATTTAATGGTTTGCAGTTGTGGTTGTCATTAATATCCTATGTTATATTAATATTCTTATTTGATATTTTTGTCTGGTGATTTGAGCTAAAATTACTTCTATTTCTAACTCAAATCCAACCTAAATGCAAGTGTCCACATACAAGAAAGGAACCTTTTGACAAGAATTTCTATTAAAAAAAAAAAAAATTGTTTCTAGATTTTTTGTCATCAGTGGATGGAAATTTTGAAATTTATAATTAAAAAAAAAAAAAAGAATATTCCACTAGTGGCTGGAACACCATAGAAAATCATCAACATATTCCGTCCACTCAATTAGGGATAAAATTTTCATTTACTTTTTAAGGTGGATGAAAGTTACCAACTAATAATTTTACATAGCTTTAAATTAGACAATTTTAGTTGTATTCACATACAAAACCGTGATTTATAGTAATGAAATAAAAATTGGCTTAATTATATATGCAACATCTGCTAAACCTTTCAAGAAGTTAAAAGTCACCGCGCGCTATAGTTGAAGAAATTAGTTTTTTTTTTGTTTTTTTTTGTTTTTTTTTTTTTTTGTTTTTGTTTTTTTGTTTGTTTGTTTGTTTTGTTTTTTTTTTTTTTTTGCTTTTAAGATGACAAAAGATTAAAAAAAATAAAAAATAAAAAATAAAAATCCATCGTTACTATTCGAAAATGTGCACCAAGTAAATCTTATTTTTTTTAATATATATTTATAATAACTGATAAATTACGTAGAAATGGTAAAGTGAGAAACTAGGATATTAGCTACCTAGCCAGGGAGACAAATGGATTGAGATATAGTTGATGATGCTCTAAAAAGTCCTAAGAAAATGGCTTTTAGGGCACGCTTGGGAGAATAAGTCTTTGTTTGCAAACTTTTCTTTGTCACATCTCACATCCATCTATGTGCCCACCAAAGAAATTAAGAAACAATATATATATATATATATATAGAGTTAGGTTCATATGAGACCCTCTTCTTAAATGTAAACTTGTGTACTGTACTAATACGAATTGAACCTTTTTATTTAGATGAATGCATGGTCTTGATTAATTGATTTATGAGTTTGGATTTCGATTCTTTTATTTCTAAAATGAACAAATTGCACTTTTGGTCCTGTGAGTATTAGGGTACTGACAATTTGAGTACGTGACTTTCAAAACTCCCAATTTAGACCTTTAATTATGCAAAAATTGGCAGATTTGGTCCTCCGGGCCAAATTGCCGGCCAATTTTGGCCGGAAAAACATAAATTGGTTCGAATTTATTTGTGTTGAGGGCAAAATCGTCATTTCACGATTGGCTCCCTAGCACGACGATGATCTTGATTATCTTCTCCGGCGGGGAGGAGGTTGAGATCCAAATTCAAACCTTTCCCATTATTTTCTTCCTTTTGGAGTACCCTTTTCTCGAAGCTGGAAGAGCTCGGGCTCAACTGCGAGGCGGCGGCGGCGGCGGTGGAGTTACGGTGGCGTCTCATGTGGCCGCCCAACGCCTGGCCGGACGAGAATTCGGCGCCGCAGTAGGAGCACTCGTGAATCCTGGGGGAGGACTTGGCGGAATCGTAGAAATGGAGGGAAGAGAAAGGGGGAGAGATTTTAGGGGTCTTGTTGAACGGATAAGGATTAATGTCTTCTTCATCGTACAAGGACAGCGGCCTCTTCACGGCGGCGGTTTCCACCGTCGTCAACGGTGGCTTCTCCTTGGTGTGGCTGGTCTAGTGGCCGCCCAGCGCTTGAAACGTCGGAAACGTGCGGCCACACGTTTTACATTCGTAGACATACATCCCCACTTTCACCCCTCCCCCGCCGCCCACGGTGGTCGTCTCTATATATTTCTTGCTGCAGAATTTGCTCCCGCCGCCGCTCTCCTCCTCCTTGTACAGCGGCGACTTGGGGATGGCAGGAGGATGACGCGAGACTCCTCCGCCTTGGGAGAGGATCATAAGGCAGCGAGCCATGTCCTCGTCCTCCGGCGTAGGCGCGGCGGGAATTGGTTCAGAGGTGGCGGAAGAATGCGGTGGTGTCATGTCCGTGATCATGGTGAAAGAGAAGGGAGTGAAATGACGGTTTTGCCCTCAACACAAATAAATTCGAACCAATTTATGTTTTTCCGGCCAAAATTGGCCGGCAATTTGGCCCGGAGGACCAAATCTGCCAATTTTTGCATAGTTAAAGGTCTAAATTGGGAGTTTTGAAAGTCACGTACTCAAATTGTCAGTACCCTAATACTCACATGACCAAAAGTGCAATTTGTTCTTCTAAAATTGTTAAGTTTACTAGCCAAAGGACATATTAGTCTTCTATTACAGGAATTATAAGAAGTGTAGAATCACCCGTTCTCTCAGTTCCCCTAGTTCGACGGTCACCATCAGCACTAAATTCTGCAAAATAAAAATTAGATGAATGTTAAAATTATAAGAAAATGTAAATAAAAATTGTAGGAATTGTAGGAAGTGTTACCTTATTCAAATCTCTCTAATTCCTCCAAAATTTCCTCAATTGACAATAGGGTATTTGGCAGCCTAAGCTAATCCTGAGTACAAACCAAAGCTTCCACAATTTTAGGAGTTAATGAACTCCTAAAAGGATTTAAAACACTCCCAGATGTATTAAAGGCAGATTCTGAGGCAACAGTTGATATTGATATAGCTAAGACGTCCATAGCTATCTTAGAAAAGATAGGAAATCTTTCAACATTCACCTTCCACCACCTAAGTATATCAAACGAGTTTTCCTCTTCAATTATTACCTTAGAAAGTAAATTTCCAACTCGGTTTTTTCCTCCCCCCCACATTTCATTCTTTGTTTCTTTATCTGGGACTTCAATAAATGTTGTGGCCTCCCAACTAAAATAGATGCAGACTGTGCAGAATCAGTACAAGGACTACAAGAACCAGAAGCAGTAGGTACAACAGTAGGATTACAAGTGACAACATAATCTCTAACAACTTTGTCAAAACAGCAAACACTTTCTCAAAGTAGGCTTTACCTTTAACCTCACCATACATGCTTCTCTTTTGTTTTGATTTGTCCAAATGACCAAGACCATTGAAAACATCACTCTTAGGCTCACTTGGAAGTGTTGCATCCATCTCCTTAGCTTTATATTTGGCTCTAATTGACTCCAAATTAATCCAAAATGCCCCGAAAGCACACAATTATTGCCTTCAACTGAACAATTTATGCACCTAAAGATATAAACAAAGGAATTAATGCACTTCTTTGCATAAAACCAAAGTGTTTATCACTCAAAATAGGTTTATATATGGGGCAAAAATATGGGCATAAATGCACTTATCAATTCATATGATTGATCTGAGTTAGCATATACTCTCATTTGTCCCTAGGGTCTAGAATGTTTGTAAAGAAAATCATCAAATTTATTTTATCTGTATCCCCTAATATTTTTCAAATTTGGCCTTCAGGTTAGCCCCCATATGACTCGTAACCCCATCAGTTTCCACCATGCCATTCAAGAGGCAATATAGATCACATATTTCAGAGAAAAAAGTGTTAAATGTGACATATAAGGATCCTGAAATTCTGACAGACGTATCATAAAAACATTTCAAGAACTTCACCAAACTCTTCACATAATCCCAATCAATGAAATCAGGAACAGATTCACCCAAATTTGATTTGAAACAAGTATAAGTTTCTTCATGTGCTTCAAATACTTTTTGATAAGTAATTGCAAATTGTAACATCAGATATGTAGAATTCCATCTGGTTGGAACAACTATACGTACAAAATGAAGGTTTTTGTTTAATTCCAATTAAATAAGACAAGTCCCTAAATTTTTCCGGTCTATCAGGTAAATTTCTGGAATATCTCACATCCTCCCTAACCTTCTTTACAGAAATATCACATTCTTTCAGCCCATCTTGCACAACTAAATTTAGAATATGAACATGCATCTCATGTGAATATACTTACACTTCACATTAGATATTTCCCAAGACATCAATTTCTTTTTTTAAAAAACCCAAAGCAGTATCATTAGATGAAGCATTGCCTACTGTAATAGTAAAGACATTCTTAAGCCCCCACTCTAGCAAACATGTTTCTAGGGCTTTTGCAACATACTCACCTTTGTGTGATGTAACAGGAACAAATGAGATAATCTTTTTATAAAGCTTTCACTCATCTATAAAGTGAACAGTGACTACCATGTAGTTAATCCTTTGAATAAATGTCCAAGAGTCAGTTGTAATACTGACACTTTGAGTGTTTTCTCTAAAAAAACACTTCAACTTCAGTCTTTCCTCTTCATAAATCACATGGATGTCCCTACTTAGTCCATCTAGATAGACCTTTAAACCTAGGACAAGGCACCTGAATAAACTTCTTAAACCTTGGCCCCTCCACAAATCTAAAAGGAAGTTCATCTATTATTATCATTTCTACCAAGGCCCTCCTAATAGATTCTTGATTAAAAATCCATGTTCCCAACTCTCCCACATTAGACTGAGAAACATCAGAGGTTGTAACAGCTTGAAATGTGAGAAGTGACTGCCTAGTGTGTTTAGAATGAGGGAATTTTTAAGACAGCTTAGCATGTGGTGCCTTAAGGATGAAATACCATGCTTTTTTATTCACGTTGATGTATATTGGCACAATATATACACTTGCATTTTATAGTAACACCATTACTATCAGAAATTCTTTCAAAATAACCGCAAACTCTTGATCTGGAATCAACCTGCTTCCTTTTCTTTGTAGGAACTGCAGTAAGAGGATGCACATTCTGTTGATTATTGGTGTCAACAATTTGGGCTTCCACCACTGTAGGTCCATCAATTGAAGAGTTGGAAGGTTAACAACCAGACTCTCTGATGTTTTCAATCTAAACAAATGAAATACTATCAGTATAGTTGGAAACATATTAAAAAATCTCATACAGTCACACATGACAATGATACAAAGAAATACATAATCATAAACTTAAATAGTTCATCATTTTTCTAGATTTCATAATTCAGACTTCACTTAAAGGTCATACATACATCCATAAACTGATAAACACACAATGATACAATCATACAAAGGAATCTCGAATCAGGAACATGTACAGTTCATCATTTAACTGGATTTTAGAAATTGAGGCTTACAATAATATTTGGAACTTTCACAGATTACTCATAAAATTTCACTCCTTCCACCAATAGTATTTTGCCAACAAGACACACAAATAACACAATAGTATTCCACATTGTATATCAGTAATATTACAATATATCACACATTGATACAATGATACAATCATACAAAGAAATCCAGAATCATAAACTTGTACAGTTCATCATTTAACTGGATTTCAGAAATTGGGATTTCCACCAATATAAGAAAATTTCACAGATATCATAAAATTCCACACTACTTTCACAAATAAATCAATAATACTTCACCAACAAGGCAACAAATACTAAAATACACAAATAACACAATAATATGCCACATTGTATGTCACAATATATCACACCTTCACAATAAAATGAACAAATGAAAAATATAAAACTAGAGTTTTTGATTTACTTCGTTTCTCTCAAAAATTCCCCAGAGAACTAGGGTCTTCTATGAACACTAGTCACCAGTTATGCAGTTCACTTGCTAGGACTTCCACCACACCACACTCGCTAGGGTTTTCACCACTCCACAAGTACCACCGGCACTGGAAAGAACAGAAAACTCAGGGAAGATAGAACGGGACAACGGGTTGGTTGGTTCGTCGAGAGAACTCAAGTCTCAGACTCTTAGAGACTCGAGAAAAAGAACTAGGTAGTCAGCCAGTCAAGTTTCAGAGAATGAGACTATAGAAAGAAAAACTCGAACTCTCATAGTATGAAACTCAGAAACTGTGAGAACTGATGTCTAAGAACGAGAGAATTAGAGTCTGAGTCTCTGAAAATTGAGAAACCCTAAGAAGAGAAGAAGAGACTAGAGAGGTTTCTAGAAAAGATCATATTCAATGGAGAAGTGAGAGAACGCGATTGCGCAAATGTGGCTTCCACCATCTAACAAACCCTAGATGTATATATATATATTCAGATGCAAGGACGACGTCGTATAGCATATGTCAAACCCTAACCCTATTATTTATCGGGTATTCAGACTGGTCATTAAAAAAATAATAATAAATAAATAAATAAATTTTCCCTACCTGAATACACAAAATCAACAAATTAAATGACTTGATTGAGTTAGTTTATGAGCGGTCAATTTGGCTCGGATTGATTTGCATTTAAATATGTAGCGGGTCAGGCGAGTTACGCTCGCCCCTACGTTTGGGTGTTGCTAGTAAGATTAATGTTTTTTTTTTTTCTTGAAATTTTCGTTTGAGATTTTTTATTTAGTTTAAATGAGGGAAAATACTTGATGTACTCTCAAACTTTTACTTCCACTTGTGTCTAAATTTGATTGGAGGATAAAATAAAGAAATGGATAAACATCGATCATAGCCTCCTATAAAGTTAAGCAATCAAAACATGCTAAATTATGAGTACAAAATGAAAGTATGAATTAAGAATGCATATAGAACTACTCTTGAATGGGCTAGGTTTTAGTTTCGCCACAATGGTATGAGATCGATTTAATTATTTGAAATGTCACACTTGGGTTCATCAAGAAAGTGTTGTTGGATAATGGAGTCAGCAATATTGTCTTTCCACATCAGAATGCAACTAACTACTCCATCTCATCATTCATCATACATCCACGTGCTGCCCCATTTCATTTCTTTCTCCTTTGGCGCTATATAGCTCGCCACAATACCTTTAACCCTAGCTATAGCTTCTTCATTCTTCTTTTTTGAAAAAAGGTATAGTGCTGTACCTATATACCATTCATATATCAAAGTACTTATATATAACTAGCTAGCTAGCTTGAAAGCAAAAGTAGGTAATGGAGTAGAGATTCTATAAGGTGTTCGCATTTGAGAAACATGCATCTCACTTCTTCAAATGTATCTCAACTCTCACATCGGACATAGTGCTGTAATTTCAATTAAATCCCACATACCTAATAGGAATCAACGAGTGATCAAAACATAATTCTCATACTAAAAAATCTTCAGTTTGATTTTTGTTAACACTTTTTCAGTTGTATCTGTCACACAGGTTCTAGTGCAATTTACTTATCAGTTATCATGTGCAAACTATTATACAAAAGTGGGTTTACTCAATATACACGCTCTTTGATAGTAACTACGGGTTTCCATCATCATCAAAACGTGGCGCTAGCTACTATGTAAGTAAAGTTGTGCCTTCGTTACTAGATATAACTTTTGTCGTAGTGGTACACGTTTGATCCTACTATATTTATGTCACAACACAAGAGAATTTACCATATCATATTATATTTTTAGTGTTACCACATAAAGTTACAAAGTGCATCTTATGATATATAAAAGTTCATTCAAAAAATACGTGTGAATTTTAAAAGTGCATTTTATGATAGGTAGAAGTACACTCAAGAAACACGTAATTTCTAAAAGTACACCCAAAAAAAAAAGTAGGTGTATAATGAGATATACATGAATAATACTATTTTTCACTTCTAATGTTTAGCTCTTAACCTGACAATAATTTTTTTAAAAATTCATTGATTATTGTGAATTAACAATATAAAAAATCAAGTTAATATCAAGAATAATGCAATTTTCTTCTTCTAATGCTCATCAACTAACGTAACAATAAAACTCTTTATATTCTTATTATAAAGTAGTGCCGGAATTGAAATACAACTCGACACTATACAAATGCATTCCTAAGGGTTTGTATGCAAAATATCTATGTACTCTTTATTCCTCCTTGTTTATGCATGATGTGAAATGTCATTCAATATACCTATAAGCTTGATTGGATTAGTTTCATCTTGTGAGATACTATACGAATATTAATACAATATGCAAATAAATTAGATTCAATGATGCTAATTAACACAATAATGGTTGAAACAATTCAAGTTCCTTAAACAAGATCTGACCAAAACTCGACTAATAGATTTTATTGTGGAAGTTACAAATTCCAGTGAGATACTATACGAATATTAATACCATTGTTTCATCTTGTGAGATACTATACGAATATTAATACAATATGCAAATAAATTAGATTCAATTATGCTAATTAACACAATAATAGTTGAAACAATTCAAGTTCCTAAACAAGATCTGACCAAAACTCGATTAATAAGTTTTATTATGAAAGTTACAAATTCCAGTGTAATATTAAAAATAAAAATAAAAAATAAAAAATAAAAAACTATGCCATCCTGTAAGTACTTCTCCAATTATTGAACATTGAACAAAATAGTCATTTCATTAGTGAAGTTCTTCCAGAGATTAATTCAGTCCAATTTTTAATTCAATAATTGAGAGGCTACTTCTATTTAAGTTGATAGATGAGCACTAAAACTTGAGTGCCACTGAAGTTCAATCCTCAATTAATTTTTTTCAATCGTTATATCGTGGGCCAAGGTCTACTATGCACACAATAGACCTTATAATATATTACGTACCTTTTATTAATAAATTATGTACATGTTACATATTTACAATTAACCAATTATGTACCTTCAATTTTATAAATACATAATTTATTAAATGCAAATATATAATATATTAACTGCAAAGTACATAATTTATATTAAAATTCACAATGAGCATAATAAAACATGACCCACGATCTAATTTGTGAGTCTCTTCTTTTCGGTTTTTTTTGTCCTTTTAAAATTGTTAAGGTTGTTTATATAGTCCAAAATTGTTAAGGTTGTTTATATAGTCCCAACAGCAATGAGTGATTATCCAAGTAGTTTAAACTTTTATCCCTTCTAGTCTAGTCTAGTGTGGTGGTCAATCCATCATCCTCTTTTGAAAAATCACAACAAAATACGCCCAACATATGGGCCTAGTGGATGAGAAGTCTTACTTAAAGTTAGTTCGTGAGCCACTCGAATGCCCGAGTAATGGAGATGTCAAAAGAAAAAATGATGAAAATGCCCAGGCTCCAATAGATGAGAGCAATAGCAGAGAGATTGAAAGTTAAAAATCTGAAAATGAAACATTGGATTGGCAACTCAAGAGTGGTTGTTTTCAAAGATGTGAGTTTGACAGAGCCTTACATGCATCTGCAAGCTGAAGCTATCATCAGATTTCAATATCTTCTTTTTGGCTCATTATATTCTTTATTCACTCTGAAAAAAAAAAAAAAAAAAAAAAAAAAAAAAAAAAAAAAAAGGAAAGATGGGAAATGAAAGTGTACCTAAAGCTGGGAAAGGGATGTGTAAACTCCTGCTAGTGGTAGTGGAGGGGGGCATGAAAAGACTTGCTAAAGCAGAACAGCTCTCTCCAATTGCAGGGAATCAAATCGTCAAACGAACCGCAGAATTTGGGGAGTTCAAAAGAGAGAAAACCCACTATGGAAGTATGGCCACAGAACACCAAAGTTGAGCAGAAGAGAAAAAGATTTTAGAGGGAGCTGAAAGGGACAACAGAAAAAGGCAGAAGTTAGTTGGTGCTGCTTAGAGTCAAGTGCAATTGAGTTTTGTTGTGACTTCAAGGACCTTGTGTGTGTGCCCAAACACCAAAATTGTTTGATCCCTCTGGGGTTTACGCATGACCGGTCGCCACCTGGCCCTGTGAGGATGTGACCTACAGGCTACAGGGAACAAAAATGTGGCAATGATCTTATCCCATCTACCAAATCTTGACCTGAAACAGAACTAACACATTCATCCATTTGTCTCCAGAGAATGTACTTATGTACCATGTCGTTTTCGTTGCCATGTTTCTATAAGATAACCACTAAAACCGAAACTTTAAGGCAGACAGATCTCATAGGTCCAACTAGTTTCAATGGCTTCCATGGACTAATAATAAAACTCGGTGTGCCATACCTGTGAACTTAATCTGCACTCCGGACCTGATGTACACTCCCGCTTACAGAAAAAGCTCCTCATACTGTGCCAACCCGAGGTTTATATTGCTATGCACCTGAAAATCACCATTAACAGATTAAGGAAACGAAGGAATATGTATCAGATCTCTGGAATATAACAAAATTAAAGAGCCAATGTTCATGAAAAGGATATGCTGTCAGCCTGTCACTGTTTATCCCTGTTGAGAAATGAGAATAGACACCATTGTTCAGTCATTGCAGTCACAGTATTCATTCAGCAAACTGCAGAAAATAACTCAATGATGGCAGCTGAATAACGAAAATGGGAATTCAGTCACGAGACTTCATCATCTGCAAAGAATCGATAAGTGAACAAGTTAAATCATCACATACTGTACATGTTTACCAATTCCTGCATGACCCATCAGTAAGAAATTTTGTTTTACTACAGCATTCTTCATCGGTCCTGAGGAAAAAGAAACACCACTGAATTTTTTTCGATAGAATTTCTACCGAGACATGCTCAGACTGAATGCAGTCTAGATAAGTAGCAAAGCTTGATATAATTGCATATATAATAACAAAAAGAGTGTAACAGCAGGATTCAGCATAAGAACAAAGTAGTTACAAATTTCAATGATAAGTAATTTGATTGGTCCATACATAGATTACATAATAAAAGTCTGAATATTAAACAATTAGATCAACTAAGCACAAAATAGTTCATAGCCAACAAAAAATTTCCTCATTGTTTTCCTTGTTCACATGTAGCGTGTGCAAAATAATATTACTATTGTCTTGGTCTCCAGCAACCCAATCCTGGACAACCTCAACATAGAGAAATTTCTCTGAAGATTGAATCTGAGATTGGAACGCTATGATGCAGCTACAGCAGATGACTTCATTTTCTTCGGTGGTGGATTACCCCCAGATATAACCACATAGAAGTAAAAGCACAACATTGCAGCACTATTTTTTAAAGTTAAAAAATAATAAAACCGTTAGAACATATTCTAAACATAAGAACACTCACAAAGAAAAACATATGTAGCAAACCGACATACCTTATGGCAGCATAAAGGCCAGTTGGAAACACTTTCTTAGTCTGCACCAAATACCACTTTCCAATCAAATAAAGCATAAGTTGGTAAAATAAAGTCACAAACATTATTTTGAGTATGGAAAAATACCAATGAATAGGTCTGCACATTCTTCCATAGAAGAAAGCCAGCGAGTACTGCAAGGTCAAAAACGTTATAAGATAATAAAGATTAGATCAATGGCACAATAAATACTCAAATCCACTAATCCATAATCCCAATATATTTGGGGTTGGCTACTAGATTCTACTTCATATCATCAATTCAACAAATTAACAAAAAGAATTGCAGAAGATTAAAACTTTCATTAGGCATCCCCTAAAGAGGTTAGAGGCTTTCAAAAGTCAACATCCATATTGTGGGCTTATGAATAATTGCTCCATAAATAAAATTAAACTGAATGAAATTTTCCAACCAACTGGGTGCCGCTAATAGCAATTAGGTCTAACAAGGAATCCATTAATTGTTGCCAGGGGTACCTTCAAACCCAAGCAACAATGATTGAAAACAGATTATTCTTAGTTGCACAACTTAACCATGCATATAAGCCTGCATAAAGACACTTGTTAATGTAGTTGATCAGCTTAAGTGTTGATCTGCAGCCACTACAGGAGCTTGACTTTACAAGGAAATACTAACCAGCTTAATTGCCTTCAATGTAATGCACTAATGCCTCAATTACAAGAGCAATATTAACATTGGACATGCTATTTGTTTTTAAGTAATACATTTATTCACAAAGAGAAGGCAACAAGATGCTGCACACAAGATCTATAGAAGTGTCAGTTTTTCATAAAGGACTCTACGCAGAACATGCTATTTATCAGTCAAAGAATTCTAAAGACCATGGAAAGTGAAATAGAATCAGGAAACAGTGCAAGTAAGGAAGTGAATAGCCCCTCCCCCCCCCCCCCCCCCTCCCTCTCTCTCTCTCTCCACCTCTCTCTGCCCCCACACATCAAATGTCATGCTTTATGACATTTGAACTAACGAGGTATCAAATGTCATGCTTCCCAACAGTTAGTGGTTTATGAAAACTAGCAACTATATGTCAATACATGCTGCTTAGTCCCAAAAAATAGTGTTCTAGACATCATTTTTTAGGCCAATCTGACTAAAACTTGAACTAAGTTGCTATACTTTAAAGTTTAACTTTTGAAAATCTAAGTTAGACTATATGAAACTACATAGGTACTACTTGACTCAAAAGAATAAAATTTAAAGAAATTCACATTAAACAGTTGGTCATCACATTGATTCTCAAAAGTTTAACTATGACATTCTTTAGGAAGAGAGGAATTACAATTCAATCCTGTAGGGCTTCCTAAATTAGAGAAGGCAGTTTTGTTGGGCATAGAGAGTACTTCAAAAGTGATAATGAAAATTATGGGAAAATCTTCACTAAGATAAAGCATTCCTCAAATGAACTCAAACGATATAACAGTACTGTCTTCTTTTGGTTTGATAGACAAAATTATATTGAGGAAAAACATTTAAAATATTCATTAAAAAGGGGGGGGGGGGGGGGGGGGGGGGAAAGTAAAAAAGTGGCCAATAACATAACAGATTTACAAGCAAAAGTGACCAATTACCAGTAGGAAAAAGCAATACCTGCTTGGCCTAGTATAAATGGCAAGCTAGATTTTCCTTGTCTCCACACCTTCAAGCTAACAGTGCTGAGAGCCAGCAAAGCACCTCCAAATAGCACACCGTTACCTAGAGTAGTAATATTTCTTGAGAAAATAAAACCAAGCAGTCCCCCACTTAGAACAAAAGTGCCTGTAGGAACAAGGAACAAATAACAGTTTTCAGTCAAAAAAACAATCCAAGAAATCAAATCACCTATAACAGGATAAGCTTATATCATTGGACATGAGGTAATGATTTTTAGAAAGAACATTCTCATTTATTTATAAACATTCCACAATGCATGGGCAAGGCTGCAGGTATCAGATCTCAACTTCCATTACATGAGAGAAATTTAAATTCTTTTAGCCAACAAAACAGGAATTATAAGCTAGCAGTATCTAGTTTATTTACTAGTTCCTGCGGCTTTCATTATTTCATTAGTGCCATAATGCCATCACAGATTCAGATGCACACACAATAAAAATTTGGAGAAAAAAAATGGATTCAATACCAGTAGTGTTGTGAACTTGTTCATTCTGAGAAAAAATGGATGCAAAAAGTGGTCCAGGTGAATTTTTATTTAAAAAATGGACATCCAATATAATTGGGATACTCACCAAAGGGAATTCCAAAACAGAAATCATGAATTTTTGCAGCCCTTTTAGGTTGAGAGGTGATATCTTCTCCTGCCAGGTCACTTGTTCCTTGTAATGGATCACTTGAATTTTTTCCAGTTGCAGATTCTTCTAAAGCTGAAAGCGGGTTTTCTGGTCTTCCATCCTGTGGTTTTAATGGATCTGTAGTATAGCTTAGAGCAGACTTACCCTCTACACTGGATACATCTGTGCCTCGCCCATCATTACTCAAACATTTAAAAACCTGAAGCTGAAGCATCTGAGTTTGGTATCACATAATTCTAAACCACAGAAAAAAGTATTACTAAAACCAAAATGCATCCATACTATGGATGCTTTAACAGGTACAAAAGAAGTCATAAGAATGCATCCATCAACAGTAAAATTTACATCTTAATACAGGCATTTTTTAACCCCCAAAAACAAAATATCTCATATGATCACATTTTGATTGTTCTTCCGGAGTGAATTTAATGCTAATTATGCGTTTCATTACTTGAAATAACAACAACAATACTTAAAAAATAATTCAAGAGCCTTAAATTTGGGAATAATTTAAGTCAATTGGATAACAGACAAACAAAACTTGACGGCGAAAAAAATAACGGGAACGATAGCGGAGAACTGACCTTGGGGCGAAGAGCAGGGGAAGGAGAGAATCGGGTGCGGAGCTGTGCACGGCGAGTTACGGAAGAGAAGCAAGACAGCTGAGAAATCGCCGACGACGACATTGCTACTGCTCTCTAAGGTCTTCGGTGGCTGCCGATCCTTCTGGGAGGAAGATCAATCGCCAAGAAAAATTGGAAATTGGTTGAAAATTTAGACAGGGGAATGCGGTCCCACCACCAGGGCTTTGACCGGACCCTTTAAATATTATTAAGATTTTTCCATTTTTTTAAAAACAGAAAATAAAAAAGAAAATGAAAATGGAGTGACCTATCAGTTGGGGAGATTTATGCAGTAAAAAAAAAAAAAAAAAAAAAAAAACAGTGAAGACGAAGAAGAAGAAGAAGCATGATGGCTCAATCCTTTAAGTTTCTTCGTCTCAACACTTGTTCAAATCCTCGCCTTAGCTCTTTCCTATCCCTCAAATCTTGGGTATTTATATATGCTTGATGCTGCATTGTTTCATCTTTTCAGAATAAGATTGGTAGGGTTCTAATGGGTAAAAGGGTATATCAATTTGCGATTATTTCCGGGTTTTCTTTAATTTTATTGGTATGTTAATTAACCATTGTCAGAATGGAATTGCTTGGAGAAGGGTATTCAATTCTCAGGCATCTTCTGCAGGTATATATAATTATATATACCCAAGTTTGATAATCTGTTTTGTTCTAGTTATTGTGTATGTGCTAAGAATGGAAAGGTCACAATATCATTGCTTGTTGGGTTTGTTTTAAGTTCATGACTGTCCAAATATGGAGTAATTTCTATCTTGTTTTTCGTTAAAGGTTCGGAATTTGAGTTTGATGAGGTCCACAAACATTCTGAGTTTGAATGTGATGAGGTCACCAATGATGCCAAAGTTACAGAGAAAAACACTGCATTACGCTTGGCTCTTTCACAGCTTGCATGTGACTTTGGCACCGAGTCTATGTTATCATTGCAACGCTTCTTTGGTGCTAGACGTGCACCCGTGATATCAACTGGCTCACTTAAGCTTGATCAAGCACTAGGCATTGGAGGATTGCCAAAGGTGATATTTTGTATTTTTAACAATATTCCGTATTTGTGCTCTCTTGTTTCCCATATACCTCATATGTGCTTATTTGAAGTTTGGCTACATGCTTTTGTATTTATTGCCAAAGCACGGAAACTAACCCTAACTCTAATTTTGCTTGAGAAAGTTACTTGTAACATGAAAGAATGGATTTTTGTTGTGGAGAGGAATGTAATAGTGTCTGTGTAGTTGATGAAGCTTTGCTCTTGTTCAGTCTAATTGGTTTTGTATTTGTTAAAGATAGGATGAGAAACAAGAACAAGCGCTCTTTTCTAGACAGTATTGATAGTATAAAAAACTTGAATTTGATGAAAAATTGGTTGGTGAAGGGAAGAATTGTTGAAATTTACGGGCGGGAAGCATCAGGCAAGACAACTCTTGCTTTTCATGTGATCAAAGAGGCTCAAAAACTTGGAGGTACATGATATTGTTGCCTTTTATCATATTTAATGTGCTTTCTTTTTTTTTTTTGGTGTAAACCACGAGGTGGTCTGGGTCTTTCTCTGTCCGTTTAACGGTCCAGGTCCACCCGACTAATCCCCGTTCGCTCCGGGAGGCACGGGAGCTGGCCCAAGAGGAATCGTCACTTGTGGGAATTGAACCCAGATTCTCCTGGAATTCTCATTGAAAATATATTTCTCACTGCATACTTTGAGATGCAGATATTTTAAGATTCTTTTTGGTGTTAGAATGTTTTTGTAGTACGGCTTACGTAATCACTCTTCAACCACCTTATGGTTGATTTTCAATTTGACCAATCATCTTTCTGGCAGGTTATTGTGCATACCTTGATGTGGAGAACGCAATGGACCCCTTGCTCGCAGAAGCAATAGGCGTAAATACAGACAATCTCCTTATTTCCCAGCCAGATTCTGCTGAAAACCTGCTGAGTGTAGTGGATACTCTGACAAAGAGTGCATCTGTTGATGTTATTGTAGTTGATAGTGTAAGATCACCCAAATTTATCTTAGACAAACTATTCTCTTGAAGTGCTTATTTGTCTTGAAAAAGTGAAACAGAGCGTTATTCTTGTCTGCTTCGTGAAGATCATCTTTGCTTCTGAGAAGTTGCGATTCTGTTGCTTTTGTAGGTGGCTGCTCTTATTCCGCAACTTGAGATTGATAGGTGTATCGGTGACGGTGATTCCCAGAAAGATGCACAATCCAAAATAATGACACGAGCACTCCGGAAAATTCATTATTCACTCTGCAATTCTAATACTCTTATTATTTTTGTTAACCAGGTTGAGTCTTGGTATTCGAACGTTTCTTCCTTCCGATCTTTTGTTTCTTGGATAATGCCCAATTACATATTAACCTGCGATTTTCAGGTGAGATCAAAAGTGCAATCATCCAAAGCTTTTGGACGTGCAGAGGAGGTAACTTGTGGCGGAAACGCATTGCCATTCTATGCTGCTGTGAGATTGAGAATGATTAGAAAAGAACTGGTCAAGGCTAATGACAAGGTAATGATTCCAAGTTACAATTTGTTGGCTTTTTTCTGACAAAAGGGCACAGGAGAATCGATTTTCTTTCTGTTTTCTTCCCTCAAATAAGTATACTTTGCTTAGAAAGGTTGTATGTGTTTGGTTCCCAGATTACTGGGCTTAGGGTTTCTGTGCAAGTAGTGAAAAACAAACTAGCTCCTGCAATGGCAAATGCTGAATTAAGAATAGAGTTTGGGAGAGGCATTTGCGATGAAGTTGAGGAGGCATTGGAACTGGCTTGTGAACATGGAGTCATTTTACGAGAAGGAAACGGGTATTTCATAGAGGGGGAGGTTTTAAACAGCAAAGAAGAAGCTGAGGCCTATCTTGCTGAAAATGATGGGGCTTTAGATCAAGTTATAAAATCCTTAAGAGCCCAGTTATTTAGAAGAGGGGGATCGTCGTAGCAAACACTAGACTGACCTTCAAAAACTCAACCATGGAGAAGAACCAGTGCTGCTTGCTCCAAGAAAGTCCTATCTGAGTCCTATCAGACTGAAAAGCTACGTCTTTGTGTAGAGATGAAGCCGGGCATTAAAGTTTATGCCTTTCTGATACAATTTGCTGTAAGAGCACAGAGTCACCCACTCACCCGACAGAGCTTTCATTCCTTGCTGTGGGAACTTGTAATCCTTGTCATTTGACGATAGAGAAGAATGGAATATCAAAGCTACTTTTTTTGTGTTGTAATTCAACATGCTTTGACTGAGTCTTTGACACAAGTGATGGTTTTTATGTTGGTAGGTAAGTGTCAAAGGATGCTAGTTGTCTTATAATTGCCCCCATTTAATCCTTGTACCTGATTTAGTACAATTCAGGTGGTTTGCATTTATTCTTCATGGTGAATCTCCTTTCTGCTAGTTTAACAAGAATCACATTCTAATTGAAAATCAAGAACAAAAGCAACTCTCATTCCAAAAAAAAAAAAAAAAAAAAAAAAACTCAAATCCTACAAAACAGTGCATGTAAACACACAAGGGGTAAAAACTTTCTGAATGCAACAGTGAAATTTGTAAAAAATGATTTGACAGTAGAGGATTCTGCATTGCCTTGTTAGAGTTACCTGTAAGTCCCCAACTTTGATCCGCAACTTCTTAAGGGCAACCATGAATCCAGAATCACCCTGCCAAATAATGGGAGGCATGTAAAAGTTGTTCAGTAGCCACTAAAATCCTTGTACATCCGTGGATACTATATCAGCAATTCTACTCTTTCCATCTCTGGCAGACATTTCATCGAAGTACAGACGCCTTGAACATCTTGCGCTGTAAGGAGAATGTTTGGGAGGATAATCATCATAGAACCTCAACTGTTGCCTCGGGGTGCTCCTTGACCTTTCCCTTTCCCTCGCCCTTGCTCTTTGAGATTCTGTATCAGACATGTAATTCGGGAAGCTAGGAGAATGCACTGAAGAGCTATCATAACTAAATTTCTGTCCTCTAGGAGATAATAATCTCCTTGGTGGTGCGGAAGATGGTTCCTCTATAAGGTCTTGGTTACGAGCATGTCTTCCATGGACTCGTTTCATCTTATTCATGCCACCTCGAGGACTATTTGATACTGCAATCATTGACAGCAAGTTAGATTTTGTCCATTGATCAAATCTGCAGCCCCATTGGTCCTCCTTGTTGGCTAGAGGTTCTTGCAGAATCTCACCATTTCTCCTCCCCTGTATATATAAAGTAGAATTTATATCCATTAATCAGATAAACTAGTATATACCATGATCTTTAGTCTTTACAGCCTTAGATGACAGGAAGAAGTGAACTAATAAATCTTCTGGGATTACCCTAGGAGATGATGAGCAGTATTTCTTAATCCGCTTTCTTCTGACAATCGCCTCTTGCTTTCTCGACCACAAAGTTTCAACAACATCTTTGTTTGAATCCACATTGAAATCCCTTGTGCCATGGACATGAAACCGAAGTTGCTAAGAATTATAATAGGTTAGTCAGAATTCAGAAACATATAGACAGATTGATTACAGCAAAATTTCAGTGACCTTAGAACTTCTATCTTGACAATCTGTGCTTACAGTACCTTCAGTTCACGAGATCTCGTGATGTCATTTTGGCTCATGAGCAGTTCCTTTTGATTTTCATAACAATTCTCGTCCAGAATAGGAGCTCTCAACAGCTGAATGTGTAACAGTGAATCTGGAAAGGGAATCATGCATTTCAATATGGCTATTAATCTGCGTCTTACAATTTCACCTCGAACCACTGCTTGAATCTTCACCAGTCCCTTCAGTGCACTTAAGGCTTTCCTAGCCTGCACTTGAAGCATATTCATACTTTACCATTGTACAAGAAAGAAATTTTCACCCCAAATCTATCCTTGTAAGATCCTAAAGTCACCTTCTTATGCTTTCATTCAAAAGGAGATTATCATGCTGCAAGTTCTTGACATGACTACAAAGTGAAATCAATGCACATATATGTATGCATGAATTATGCAGACAAGAACGATGAATCACTATGCACATTTCATCAGAACAATTTTAATCAAGAAAAAGAGAAAAAAATGTAGCAGATGCTTACAAGGTGAGCACGATAAGCACTTTGGATTTTGATAGCTGCAGAGCTTTTTATCTCTCGAATTTCATGTTGAGCATTTGCTTCCCGGATAAATGTGGCTGCAAATTTGGCAGAAGCCACCGCAGCCTCTGCTGCAGCTGCTGTAGCTAGAGCTACAGTCAAAGCATGTTTTCTCTGCTCCTCTGTTGTGTCATGTAGGCCAATTTCTGCTTTTGGTTTTCTCGCAGGAATTAATAGTTGTTTCACATAATTTAACCAGCTTCTTATTCTTCCCATTGGATATTCATAAGAGTGCTGCAAATTGCAAAACAAAAATCTCCACTCACTACTATGATACAATATTACCTTTTACCATTATAGCATACCTGAATGGAGAAGAGGGCTATCTAACACATCTAATGCTCCCTAGAAGTCATTCTTGAAAGGTGATGGGCCAAGTGGATTCTTTTCATCCTCTGGTTGGTGTCTTATATGTAAGAGGCTGTCCTGAGCAAAGCTATCACAGGGGCATCAAGTGCTGAGAGAAAAATAGATAATGAATGCAACAAATGCGATTTGATCTGTGAATAGTAAAAACATGTGCAAACTACTCTTTGTGAATGCATACCAGACAAGAATAATGGAATGACCTGATATATTGATGCCCTTCCATCTATCTCGCGAAGAATCAAGTACAGGATTCAATGATTCGTGTTTATGTGATTTAATCTTTCAATAGTGAAAACATGTGCAAACTCTTCTTTGTGAAGGTATACCCATCCAGAAGTTATGGAATCTGATATACCAATGCCTTTATTCCATCTTTTCTCATGAAGAACAGGGAAGGCCTTACCATTTATGTGAAACAATCTTTAAATGGTGAAAAGATGTGCAAACTACTATCTGTTAATGCATACCAGTCAGGAAATAATGAAATCTGATATATTTGATGCATTTTCATCTTCTTTTACAGTCTAGGATTTCCTTCTTTTTCTCACTTCTACTTATTTTAGGTGCAATATTAATTGCATATGTAAGATATCAAATTTACACCAAAAAAAAAAAAAAAAAAAAAAAAGATATCAAATCACAACTTTTAAAGGGTTAGAGAGGAAATATCTCTTCATAACTCTTATTAAAACTGTTACTCAGAAAGCACATATGCTCTGCACATAGACAGTAAAACTGATGCCATATTAAGTAAATTTCACATTTTCACCTATTTCATCAAACAAGAAACATAACAAGGGAACAAAGGTTTAAATATTAGCTGCATATAGTAAGTGTAATAAACTCCAGTTCACCAACCTAGTATCCCAGAAATTTCCCAGGTAGTTTGTACATCTTTGATCCTTTAATGCACCACTATTTCCATTACCAAGACTGACCGTTCCTGGTCACATCTCATTATTTTTTTAAATAACCCACATGAATAGCTCTACCACTTTTTTTTTTAAATAGCTCTACCACTTTAGTTCTTCAAAGTTGTCAATGTACCTGCACATATTTCCAGGGTTCAACAAGCAATCGATCTTCACAATCAGGAGAGTAATACTCTTTGTAGTAGCGGTACTTATATATCGCATATCGGAATATGGTCAAAAGAAAAAACATATATTTCACCGGGTTTCTTCCTATACCTATGAATTCCACTGGACCCACCTTAATCTCAAGAATCCCCACAACTCCCACCCTCGAGACTTGGTAGAGTTAAAACGCGGGACATAACTTAACAGTCCAAAGATTCCCAAAATGCTTGTGATTATTGTACTCTGCACCTGCCAGGAAAGTTACACTATTAACTTTTTTGGATTGATCAATCAATTGAGTTGTACCTAGAAGACTAGAATCAATTACTTCTTTTTCTACTCTCTGCTCTTTACTCTCTAACCACTATCATAGCTTAAGAAAGTGGTGGGTTGCCCGCACAAGCTTTAACTCATTGCTTCAGTATGCAATATTTTGGAGCAAGAAAGTGACGAGTTATAAATTCTTACGTACAATTAAATGGTGTTCTCCAAAACGGCTATTTTAAGTCTCCCAACTAAAGGCCGGATGGAAACCAAGAAAACTGTAAAATAGACACTGTTAAAACAATTAGAGAATACATTTATACTCCATAACACCCTAAAATTGGACAAGATTTGCAAAACACAACTATCTTAGAAGAACAAAAGTTCAAATTTTGTTGGCATATCTTGTGAGATATCAATGGCCCAAAACATGGTAATCAAAGATACCGATATACATGATAAAAGAAACTTTCTAAACACAGGATACTCTGATTAGAAACATAAATTTTTTCTAGAGAATGGGGTAATTGCAAGCAATGATCACAAAATAGCGCTAGTAATAACTGCAGGTGCAATTGGGGAAATTCTCAAACTCCAGTGGACCCAAAGCCACCGGAGCCTCTCACTGTGGAGTCCAGATCGTCGACTTCTTCCACCTCCGGCGTCACGATATTTTGAATGATAAGCTGTGCAATTCTGTCACCAACCTTAACTTCGAAATCGACATCGGAATGGTTGAACAGTATCACCCCAACTGCTCCTCTGTAATCCGCATCAATCACCCCCGCCCCTACATCAATCGAATGCTTCCATGCCAGTCCTGACCGCGGCGCTAATGAATAAACAAACAAACAAACAAACAAACACAACAACAACAACAATTAACCCTCCCTGAACGTATATAGCTATGCACATAAAGAGATGGAGTTAGAGAAATACCAATGCGAGCATAGGTTCCTTCAGGAACGGCGATGCTGAGATCAGTGGGGATCAAAGCCTTGCCTCTCGCCGGAACTTTAGTCTCGGCAGCACTGCGAGGCAGAAACACCAAACAAGCAAATGATTTCATGAAAATACTTCATGGAGTTTTGGAAATGAGAAGCCATTACTCCGTAGCATTTTAAAGACGATATTGAAAACACCGACCTGGAGAGATCGTAGCCGGCGGATAGAGGGGAGCCTCGAGAGGGCAGCACCGCATTCTCAGAGAGCTTCTTGACGAGGAAATGAGGAGCACCGCTGACGAACTTCGAAGGCGCGGAAGCCTTATTGTCTGGAGATGAAGAGCTGAGATTTCCGGCCATCGCTGAAACAGTTAGTGCGTGTAGTTGAGAATTAGAATGGGAATGTGACGATTGAGAAGAAATAGAAAATGGCGGTGAATATGCAGGGCGATTTTGCCCTAGGAAACCGTGTGGCGCCAAGATAACTCCCGCCATTTTTGAGATTGCAATTGCAATTAGTATGGTTTGACCTAAAGGAGAAAAAAATACTCGTAACAAAGTGTACTAGAAATTACATAAAATTAAATCATGTAACTTGTAAACATGTAGTGATCTCTCATATGTAGAAGGTCATGAGATTGAGTCTTAGGGAAAATGAAAAAAAAATTCACAATTAAGAGAGGTTGAATGGTTAAGGAATTCATAAAATCCAAATTCCATTTTTTTTTATTTCATGTATGGAAGGATTACTTAATGAAAATTTAGATAAAATGCTAAGTTAACATAATTTTAAAAGAAAATGTCGCCCATTGAATTTTATTTTAGAAGAATGGGTTAATGGAGCATTTGCGAATAGTTGACAAAACTATTTGACACTTCTTTATTTATTTATTTAAAGTGATAGAGTATTGTAGAGCTATAGAATAAATAGTGATTGAATTACAACTTTAATGATGTGGAAGTATGATCAACTTTTGAAAGAAAAATTCTATATGCACTCCCATTTTTTACTCCCAACTTGTACTCCTTCTCACAAATTCTTGATGTAGACACATTCCCTGGGACCCACATGATGAAAATAACCAATCTTTGTTTGCCATGTCATGGAGTACAAGTGGGGGAGTAGAATTTGAGAGTACATACAGTATAACTCCTTTTTGAAATTGGAGAGTATTGTAGGATAAGAATAGTCCAAGGGCTTAAGCCTTTCACATCAATCACAACTCACAACTCACAAGTGTCAATGATTTTTATTTTTATTTTTTAATAAAAAAACACCAAAAGCTAAAAGAGTCCAATCTAAAGTTGAATTCCCAATGTTAATTTTTCCAAAAGGTTGAACCCTAACCTTAAGGAATTCTCAATGTTCATGACATGAGATATAGATGTTGATGATTCATATAGCAACGTTAAGAGCAACTCCATCCATAGTTTTTTGAAGGGTTTTTTTTTTTTTTTTTTTTTTTTTTTTTTTTTTTTTGTAGAGTTTTTATGCTTAGATTGGAGTGAGAAGAGAGAGCTTTTTTAATCTCCTGCAAATTCAAGTTTGTTGTGATTGTAGGTAAAAGAAAAAAAAAAAAAAAGATGAAGAGTTGTCGCGTCAGCTACTTGTATTGAAACTCAAAAAAAAAGAATAAGGATCAAATAGGCCACTAAACTACACACTAAACTACAATTAGGCCATCGAACTCAAAAAATATGCAATTAGTTCACTGAGCTACACAAATTTATGCAATTAGGTCTAAAATGACCTATTTATCTGCCATGTAGATTGTGGTTTTTAAAAATAATTTTAAACAAAAAAATTAAGTTAAAAAAAAAATGAACGACTGTCTATTTTTTTAATTAATTTTTTTTAAAATTATTTTTGAAATCCACAATCTCTACGTCAGCAAAGTACAGATCATTTTAGATATAATTGCATAAATTTATGTAGTTCAGGGACTCAATTGTATTTAGTGACTTATTGCATTCTTTTTGAATTCAATTACTTAATTGCAACTTGATGTGCAGTTCAGTGGTCTATTTGACCCATATTCTAACAAAAATACTACATGAACTTTTACTCTCGCACAAATTTCATGAGATCACGTGATGAAAATATATAATTCGTATTTATCACATTATAAAATAAAAGTAAGAAAGTAGAATTTAACAGTACATGTAACTCTTTGAACAAATCATCCAAAAAATTTAACTCTATCAAACTATTTATACGGGATCAAAGTAAAGTAGTCATGCAGCTTAATTCGCGCATGGGTCAGTTACGATGACTCTTGTAGGCTAAGTTGCGGCTGTGCTTCTTCACTCCTCAATCCTGATCCCTTCAAGAATCCAAGACTTCAACCAAAGAGCAACCACGCATGGAGATGGAGTCCCACCGTCACAGCAGCGTTTCACTCCGAAAACGAAAACGATCACGATCGATCTCACCATCACCGCCAACCGGCTTCCCGTTGAAATGCGTGAGATGCGGCCACCACACTGTCTACACCTCCCCACCTCCTCCCGCCGTTTTGGACTTCCACGATGCCATTGCTAGGGAAGCCATCTTCGACATTCCAATTCCGAAGTCTCAGAAGGTGGATCCGCTTTCCGATCGCGCTTTTCAAGCCCCGAGTAAGCCAATCCAGGACCAAAAGCACGTCCATCGCTTCCAACGCTCCGCCACTTGCGAGAATTTCCTCGGCTTCGTTGCCGCCCTCTCCGAGTCTGTTCGCTCCCACAAGGTCTCGGATCCATGCCACGTGTCTCCCGCGATCTCCGCCGTGGTTTCAACCCTCCAAACTTTGATTTCCTTCGTCGATGAGATCCCTCCGGCGCCCCAATCCTTCCGACTCGGCAACCTAGCTTACCGGACTTGGTACGAGCGAATGCATTCCAACGCCGAGTCTTACATGATTCAATTCCTTCCTCCGGACCTCCATTCTTCCACGGTCGAGCTTGTTCCCTACTTCACTGATAGTTTCGGCAATGCTGATCGAATCGACTACGGTACCAATTCAAGTTTACGATTATCTGTCAATAATTTATGTATTGTTTTACTATTTTATGATTACTGTTACTATTATTATTATCATTTAAAAGAAGGAAAATCGAAATTTATATACAAAGAAGAAACAGTCATTTAAGTTTTAAGGAGTAATTTTTATGAAATGCAGAATTTGAAACAGTGAAGTTTGATTAATATATTGAATGATATTCATAGGTTTCAGGAATAGTTTATGCAATTATATAGAGTTGTAATCTGCAATTGAAACTTCAATGTATATTCTTTGATGTTACTATCTGATTTCATGTCTTCAAATGCAGCTTAAATGTTATGTTCTCATATGCAAATTTGTTGTATTAGAATGGACAATAATTAGAGTGAGTGAACATGAAAGCATCCTGGATTCCTGATATTTGAACTCAGTCTAACCATCTAAGATAATAAAGGGAGTGAAACTAGTGCTGTTGTCATTGCCATTATTATTCGGCATTTGGGTGCAAAACATTTCTTAATGCTTGTTCATTTTGATCTGCTTGAATTGGTATATTAGTAATGTGGAGTGGTTTTGTTCATATTCACTTGTACTATCGTACCTTGTTAATCTCTCCTTTCAGGAACTGGCAACGAAACACATTTTGCTGCCTGGCTTTACTGTTTAGCAAGAATAGGAGTTGTGAAAGAAGTGGATTACCAAGCTCTTGTCACCAAGGTTTTTGTAAAGTACTTGGAGTTGATGAAGAAATTGCAATTGACCTATAGTCTTGAACCTGCAGATCCTGATGGGGCCTGGGGACTAGATGACTATCACTTCTTGCCATTTATTTTTGGGTCATCGCAGCTGATTGGTCACAAGTACATCAAGCCAAAATCAACTCGTAATGAAGATATCGTGGACAACTTTTCGAAAGAGTACCTCTACTTCTCGTGCATTCCTTTTACAAAGGAGGTGAAGAAGTGGTCCTTGGAGAAGGAGGTGAAGAAGTGGTCGTTGGCAGAATATTCTCGTATGTTGTATGATACAAGTCAGGCGTCAAATTGGGATATGGTTAATAGTGGTTTGCTTCAGATGTATAAAATGGAAGTCTTGCAAAAGGTTCCCATCATGCAGCATTTCCTTTTTGGCTCCTTAATTAGATGGTGTGTTTCTTATCCTCTTTATGTTTTTAAGCTTATATTTAACGAAGAATTTACTACTCATTCAATTTCTTGCAAGATATTTATCCTTTGTTTAGTACTTTGTCATGTCTCGCTTTTCTAACGCCTTTTCTTGCTACTTTTCACAGGGAATGTGAAGGGAAATAACGTGGCATCAAATTGGATTGAACTAATAAAAGTATCATCTGCAGATAGCAGGAAGAGAAGAGAAGTTTTGTACCCTTTTGGCAGTTGATAACTTGATACCTTTAATTCACTGTGTTTCCAGTTTGTACTTTTTTTCACATTTTATAGTTTGGAACAAGTGACGAACATATGCAATCTCTTTTGGTTCTTCCCTTTTCACTTTCACTGAAATCATCTTTTTGTTTATATGGAGAATTTTTCTCCTCCATTATAAATCTTCCCTATAAACTATAGTGTATAAAATACATCATCCAATAGCAAATTATCTTGTTGAGATTTTTATAATGCATCAATATTAACTTTTTCTTCCGCATTAGAAATTTCCTATAGTATATAAAATAAGTCATTGAATAGAGAATTATCTTGTAAAATTTTTTAGAACAATCATACCAGCATATTTTAGGGGTGGTTTTTTTTAGAGCATTTAACTCTTGAAATAACAAGATTTTAATGGACTCATTGATTGAGAAAGCAAAGCAAAGTAACACATGGGTACTCGCGTGCTAGAAACGCAGCGCACCACGTAAGATTTCATTTTTCACATCTGGTCATGATCTTTAAGTTGCAATGAACCAACTACGCTAAGTCTCAATGGTACTAAACTTGATTATATATAGAAATAGTGTTAATATATAGAGAAAATATCAAGTACGTTCCTAAATTTATATTTGAAATTTAACTTGATTATATATAGAAATAGTGTTAATATATAGAAAAAATATCAAGTACGTCCCTAAATTTATATTTGAAATTTACAATTAAGCATATTCACTTGTGATTTTCTACGTTCGGGTGAATCAGGTATAATAACTTGTACGAGTGTGTGGTATGGGTATGAAAGTGATTGTTATTGTTTGATTGACTGGTTTTTAAAACACTACTATTCCCTTATTTTATAGGAGTTTTATCTTATTATTCATTCTTAGCCTAATCATTCTCATTCCATTCTAATACCAAACATACAAAATACTTTTACCAAAACTTATTACTAAAGAATGGTTTTCCATATGAACCACAGAACCAGATTTTATATATATAAAAAACCCTAAGTCAGTAAGTCGTGTCGGGTCAGTGGTCACTCTGCGTGTATCCCTTCCCATTTCCAGTGAAATCAAAGCCAAAGCCCTAAAATTGTAATCCCTAAAATCAAACCCCTAACTCAGACGCTCACTGCTCAGTACCTCGCGACGCAGCCGACGGCCTCACGCCTGCGACGTACGTATCCGGCGGTCGCATCTCCTTGGCTCCTCACCGGCGTTCAATACTCCTTCGTCTCCTCGGCTCCTCACCAGCGAAGTGCGAAGACTGCGAACTGCTCAGGTTTTTTAAAAATAGCTCATAGATCATACGATTATTTATTGTTTTAACCATAGTTTTATTTGTTTTTAATATTATTATTGTTATATACATTTATAAAATGCCGATACATTTGTGCTAAGTTTGTCATATATAATCCTTCTTCATTTGTCTCTACACCTGTTCGGCTGTTCTAGCACCTGTTCTTGCTCCTCAAATGAGGACTTTTGATAGGCAGTAGCAAGAACTTAGCATTTTCCAGTAGCAAGAATCAAATAAAAAAAAAAATAACTTCTAAGGATTTAAAAATTAAGCTAAAAAACTTTGGTTAGTCGGTATAAAAAATTCAGTTCAGTGAACTTATATTGTGGTATGTATGGGAAATTGTGTGTCTAGGATACAACTAAGGGAACTTCTGTTAGATGAAAAATCTATTCTGGCAACTACTCCCTGTGTCATGCATATATTTGCTTCAAAAGACCAAATCATCCTGACGCTGTAATTGAGTAGACTTTATTGAGATGGGTACTTGAGTTCAAGAGTGGCATTTATTTCTTACTGCTAGGCACAATTCAAATGCAGAAGGGATGAAAATGTTACAGGGAAAAGGGACATGATTTTTCAGATTACTCTTTGTGGAAAGGAGGTGGCTGAGAAATGGATTCTAATAATGAATCAACTGCATAATTATGAATTATGAGCTCATATTAGCTTGAGTTCAATTATTGGAGTTTGCTTCTTCCCGTATTAAAACAAATGATGCTGAATACTATGCAAGACTTCAAAGGGAATTCACTTGTTCAATTTATCTTAAGTGAAAGATCCTTTTGATTCTATTTTCCCCTTTCTTGGAAGGAATTTGACTTGATGTATTGCTTGAGAAACCAATATGCAGCTGATTTAATGCTATGGAGTTATAATGCTAGATTGAGAGGAGCAGTAGAAAATAATCATTTACTGGCTCTTTCCTTTTTGAAGTATCATCTATTTTTTGCTGGAATTAAGCTTTTTTGCTGCATGCTGTTATTGCTTTGGTGATATTATTACAGTACAATAATGGAATTTCTTGTGTGATTTCAGATCTTGGTACATTTTATTACCAGTGTAGAGATTTCTACATTTTATTGCCAATTGTTTTTTTTTCCTAAGATGTGTTTTCTTTTGCTCTTAATTTCCTCTTGAATGCATCAGCAGTAACCTGCCGTGAACTTGATTCTTATTTTAATGATTCTTGTTCTCCAAATAAATACTCCGTAATTATTTGCGCTCGAGAACTATGAAATGTCGGGAATTGGGGTTCCTAAACCAAACCGAACTGAACTACAATGTTAAACTGAATGGTTTCGTCTTTTGTTTTGTTTTTAAACAGAACAAACCGAAACCGAAAAAAAAGAAAAGAAAAAAAAAAAAAAAAACAAACTGAATACCGAAACGCCCACCCCTACTGAAAACTACCAATTACTGTTCGTTCTCTGTGGTTGTTCCTCCTAATATCGAATTCCTAATCCATAATTGCATTTAACTTTTTCGTTTGAATTCTATACTTTTCTCAACACTATATGTAAAAATGACACCATTAGTAACTGCAAATTTCTTCAAAGCTTTCTCCTGCTTCTGAATTCCTGGCACTTTCCCTTTTTAAGTCTTAATAGTGGGAAACTGTGAATGTTTGCTTAATTTTGGAGAAATTCAACATAAACGAAAAAAATTACTTAATAATGTTATGTAATAGGGATATGGCATTTTCTGACCTGAAAATTCACTGAAAGTTGCTTGCACCTTGTTGCAAATCTTAGAATGCAGATTGCTTCTTGTTACAAATTAAAAATAGTTTGTAATTAACATTGCAATGATAATTTAATTGTACTTGTGTAATTACTGTTGCACTGATTTTCCTGTGCTCAGGCTATGGATGTGGATGAGGAAAATTCTGTGGAACCTACAGAGACTTCTTCTGTTATTACTGATAATCAGAATGTAGCTTCTGCCCTGGGTGCAATTTCACTTCAACCAGTTCAACCACTTGCACCACCCGTAATCATACCTCCTATTGCACCTGCCATTGCTCCAAGACCTGTAGTTGCTCCGCCTCTGGCACCTCTCCCTGTTCGACCATCAGTCCTTAAGCCTCCTTCAGTGACACAGAATGGAGACATGCGAGCTAGTGATTCAGATTCTGACCATGATGAATCAGGATCAGGTGCAATGGCTGGCTCTACTCAAGAATATGAGATTTCTGAAGAGAGCAGACTGGTGAGAGAGAGACAAGAAAAAGCCATGCAGGAGCTTCTTTTGAAGCGAAGAGCTGCTGCTCTGGCAGTCCCTACAAATGACATGGCTGTTCGAGCTCGTCTTCGTAGACTTGGTGAACCCATAACCTTTTTTGGGGAAAGGGAAATGGAAAGACGAGATCGACTGCGAGCACTTATGGCGAGACTTGATGCAGAAGGGCAGCTGGAAAGACTGATGAAAGCTCACGAGGATGAAGAAGCTTCAGCTTCTGCTGCACCCACTGAGGAGGAGGAGATTCAATACCCATTTTATACTGAGGGATCAAAATCTCTTTTACAGGCCCGAATAGAAATTGCAAAGTACTCTATTCTGAAGTCAGCCTTGCGTCTTGATCGTGCTAGGAGAAAAAGGGATGATCCTGATGAAGATTTGGATGCTGAAATAGATTTGGCTTTAAACCAGGCAGGAAGCCTGGTCCTTGATTGCAGTGAAATTGGAGATGATCGACCACTTTCTGGTTGCTCACTATCACATGATGGTGAGATGCTTGCCACCTGGTAATCTCTTTCTCTATGAGTTCATATTATGCATGCATGTATGCCTTGTTGGTTCCACTGGCAGGAGAGGATTCTGTGTGCTATATTAGGTTTTGCTTTGTGGTTTACACTGTATATGTGGTTATTATTGGTTATTCAGTTCTTTTATCTTATCTGGATTATGATACATAATAGGCTGACATCTATTGGTTTAATTTACTTTAGCTTTTCTTCATTTTCAAGTGGGCACTGTCATTGCATTCAACTTTGTTCTAATTGAAGATTGAATTTACTTCTTGGGCATCCATACAATTTACTGATATTCAGTATTAGTTTGGTAAATAATACTATCAAGACTAGGCAGTGTTTTGCTTCCTTGTATCAGAATTCTCTCAAGGTCTCTATAGAGTCTAATTTTCTAACTGGTGCTAGTTCTAAAAATTCTCTAGCAGATTGTTGAGTTTTTTTTGCCTTGTGTTCCCATGTGTACAGTGCTCTGAATGGAGTTGCAAAATTGTGGAGCATGCCTCAAGTACAGAAGGTTTCTACCCTTAAGGGGCACACCGAGCGAGCTACTGATGTTGTATTCTCTCCCACATCCAATCATCTAGCAACTGCATCTGCTGATCGAACTGCAAGGTTGTGGAATGCAGAAGGGTCTCTTTTGAGGACATTTGAGGGCCATTTGGATCGTCTAGCCCGGATTGCCTTCCATCCATGTGGAAAGTACTTGGGCACAACTAGCTTTGACAAGACTTGGAGATTATGGGATGTAGAAACTGGTGAAGAATTGCTTCTTCAAGAAGGTCACAGTAGGAGTGTATATGGACTATCTTTTCACCATGATGGTTCCTTAGCTGCATCTTGCGGACTAGATGCTCTTGCTCGTGTTTGGGATCTTAGGACAGGAAGAAGCATTCTTGCTTTCGAAGGCCATGTTAAACCTGTATGTTTTACTTGATATGTGGTTTTTATTTTTATTTTTATTTTCATTTGCTTTTGTTTTTGTGGTATTAGGAAGAAACAGAAGAATACTGCTAATGATGATCATCTTTCAGGTTCTAGGTATCAGTTTTTCTCCTAATGGGTATCATTTAGCTACTGGTGGTGAAGATAATACTTGCCGAATTTGGGACCTAAGGAAGAGAAAATCCCTTTACACAATACCTGCTCACTCTAATCTCATCTCTCAAGTTAAGTTTGAACCCCAGGAAGGATACTTTTTGGTGACTGCTTCATATGATATGACGGCTAAGGTATGTTGATTACTTAAATTTGGTTTGTTTTGGTATTCTTAGTTCCTTGAACAAATATTATATTTATGCAATATAATTTATAAATTTGCACTTGATACCAGGTGTGGTCATCAAGAGATTTTAAGCCAGTGAGGACACTATCTGGGCACGAAGCCAAAGTTACATCATTGGATGTTGGGGCAGGTTAGATTTGTGTTTTTTAAAAAATCATTTCCTGTATTTTAAGCTTATTTCAAACTGCTTTACCTTTTGTATGTATTTGTCATATTGATATTGTTGTTTGGTTTTGAGAAGATTTGTGTGACCTACTTTTGAATTTGAAGCATACTAGATAGCCATGAAGTGATACTCTTTTCTCTATTATTTGGTGTAGATGGACAATTTGTTGCTACAGTTTCACATGATCGAACTATAAAGCTATGGTCTACCAAAAGCAGTGAAAAGGAAAAAGCAATGGATATTGACTAGGATGTAGAACTGAGAAGGGTAGTTGAAGAACAATATCTGAAGCAGCAATGAGAAAAGGATGGGCATTTGGATAGCAGCATCATCAACTGGTGAAGAACTGACTTGACTTTTAATACAGTGCCCAAAGTGAGGGAAGTATATTTTCAGTTTCAGCGCACAACTGATTGCTTTGTTTCCTGCCCAGTTATTTCAAGTGACCTTGTGGACTGAAATTATTGGATATTAGTTGCATAATGGATGCTGTTGGTTAAGTATTGGAAGTAGCAACTTTGTAATCAAAAGAAAAGAGTACTATTTTTATAATGAGTTCTACCTGTGGGGCACAAAAATTTCAAGATTATCTACCTACCTGTCAGGCACAAAAAAAATCAGTTATAGGAAACTAGAATTTTTGTGCCTGACAGGTAGATAACCTTCTCAAAAATGGTCCCAAATTGGAATCGTAACAAGATAACAATAAAAAATACGTATATAAGCATACTATTTTTATGAGTTCTAACTTCCAATTGGTTTATAAACGAGTACATTGCACATCCAAACCAGAGGCATATAACACCAAAAGCAAACATTTGAAGAATTTGGATCCAAATCAGAGGCCTAACTAACAACCGGATCCAAAACAGAGGCCTAAATAACAACAGATAATGTTGTAAAAATCTATCTGGGATACAAACATAGTCAAGCTTCTCTATAAGAAAACTGAGTCTATGTAAAGTTGACGGGCACTCCAGTTAATAAAACAATGACTCTCTTGGAACTCTTACAAGTTAGGTCAAAACTTTCAACTAATTTAAAAGCAACTGTTCTCCGCACGACGACAAAAGAACTCTGCATTTCCAGGGTGAGTTGGTTAATTCGTAGTATACAAGTTCAGCGAGATGGGGTTTCATTCATTTGTGCGCTCATCAGGAAGAATATCCTTTACTGTTGCAACTTCATTTATACCAACCAGTAAGAATCCACCTCAGCAGGAAACAGAAGCAGCAGCAGAAGGCCTGTCAGCAGACAAATTGATTATGTTCAATGACTATGCCACATATGCAGGATTGAAGAAACAAAAGGGAACAAACCAGTTTTGGACTTCAAGTAACAAGAATTCTACAAGCAATGCAGCCTATTGTTATCCTTGGTAAATATCTAGTCTAGTGTAACAACATTTTGATTGCCAGCTACAATTCATACCTCACCTAAATTATTCTTGAATTCTAAGTTGACTACATCTTTATATCAGCAAAAAAGATGGCATAAAAGTGCTTATAAATACATTTCTATCAAGGTAATTTCTACCTGTCAGGCACAAAAATTTCAGTTATAGAAAACTAGTAAGTTCAAGCTTTATATTCAAAATCAGTCCAAATTTGAGTCAGGTGGTGGAAGAGAGAAGAATGGAGTTCAGACCAAAAAAGTTGGCCAATTATGTACTGGTGATATAAGTAAATTTAGGGTTGTTATGCAGCATCAAATTAAAATAAGTTGTTAAATAACCAATCGATCTATTTCTAGTGTGTTCAAAACTGTAAAGGAACCCATTGTTAGAAGAAGTCCGATGAGTGGCTAGCCACCATTCAACAATAAGGAACTTGGCAGCTCTTTAAAAGCAAGATACATGAGAAACCTATTACCTGGAAAAGTAGTAATACAACGCAAAGGGACTGTTCTGACATTCTGCCAAGTTGTCTTAAGAAGAAGTTTACCAATGTTCCATCATTTGTACCAGTTAGTAAACCAGTCTGAGGATCAAATCTGAACAGTACCAATAGAGGTCAATTTAGTTGCGAGTATTTACAAGTCAAGCAGGCAAATAAATTAACTTACTTAGGCAGTCGATGCCGTGGACAAGGGATAATACCAGCTAGCTTCACAAAGGACAAAGGAAGAAAAGCAAGGGGTTAGAGTTTATAAATAACAATATTAACTTCATTGTTCTGTTTTAGAGGAATCTAGGAAGATGGGGTGGTACCTGAGGGACTGACAGCAAAAAGTTCAAAACTTGAGGTGTAAAGAATATCAGAAGTGTTTCACTGAAAAGAATAAAACATGAGAACAGTAGTTGATTATAGTTCACAGAATCTCAGATTAAAACAGCTAAATAAGTAACTTTACAATGTAACAAAATGCATGCATGCTTGATGGGAATAACTGGATAATGTAACAATATGCATGTAATTTTTTATGGTGCAGCAGCAATTAGACGCAGTTTAAAGCCATTTTTTAACTTTGTGTAACATAATTGTCCACAAATCCTTATTTGTATTCATGTTAACAATATAGACAGCATTCCTGTGGATTCAAATTATGTTCAAAGTAACCAGCTTGGTTGGCGTGAGTGGCCTGTGCACTCTCATCCCTTAAGAGAGCTCAGGAGTTCAAACCCCTCTCGTATGGAAAAACCAACCTGGCCAGCACTTTGACCCTTAATTGGGCCTGCCCACTGCGAACGTGGATTAGTCTGAGTATGGTACGGGCTTAAAGGCGTCTCCTACAGTTAGGGCCAACTCAAGACACCTCGTGATCTAACAAAAAAAAATTATGTTCAAAGTGTTTGATTGAGGGATAGTAGTACTGCAATTCACATGGAGGGTATTCATCAATATGTTGATGGAACAGCTATTGGTTCAAATGTCAACCAGATAAGATGAATATGGGATTTGATATATCTTTTTTGGTTAATTGTATTTTTTAATTTAAAAATTGTCTTGAAATATATGATTAATTGATCATGCATCTGGAGACAGAGGTCAACTTGTATATTAGCAGACAGCCTAAAAAACAGTTTTTAATACATCTATATCAAAACAAAGACTAATTTTTGGTTCTCTTTCCCAGAATCCTAGTTATTTAATGCATTCTCCTTTCTGTCAGGATCAGGGGTAGGATATAACTATGAGTAATAAATTATTAAGATGGTTCATAAACCAGGGAACTTTTAAAGTTGAGGATTCATGTCATCATCAAAGAATATGATAAGGGGAGAGCCAAAATTTAAGTTCATTATGTACTTAAATTAATTATATTGTTATAAAGAAAATATTCACATACCTAAAGTGACCCAAAATGCCAGCTACTGCCATAGTCATTCCAGCAAAGTAGGTGAAGGTGTCACCAACAAAAACCGAAGAAGGATACCTATAATAGAAAGTTCAGGATAACACACAAAGAAGACAAATTACAAAGTTCTAGGAAAATTGACAATCTTGAAGTAAAGTACGGTACCAGTTGTAAGAAAGTAAAGCCAAGGAAGTGCCAAGCAATGGTTGGGCAAGATAAAGAGAAAATGCATGGGCTTGTTTATACTCGGGGTCAGTAGATGCTCCAATTTGCATGATATTATGAATCAATATCTACAATTACAAGTAATACTATCAGTTAGATTCCATGAAAACTTTTTGTATTTTCAGGTTCAGTATATTAAAATCTTTTAACTTACAGCAGCTGCAATAACAACTGTCTGCCCTACTTCAAGGCCATTGAGACCAGCATGGATATTTATGGAATTTGTGCAAAATATGGCCAAGAGCCACATATATAGTTTATAAATCCATCCTGTACACATTAAAATTGGTAGAAGCGTTACAAAATGTACCAACGAAACAGATTGTGTGACACAAAAAGTAAACAATCAATCCACACATTATAATGAAGGTATCAGTTAAATCAAACAATACCAAGATCCAGAATTTCTAATCCAACATATTGAACTAGAGGCTTTGGTATAACAATAGTTGTATGCCCAGCATACGCCATCAACAAAGGAAGAGCTGCAATAGATGGTAATAACAATTTCCTGTCTTCAACATAACAGTAAGCTAAATAAGGATCTTTTTTATAACATTAATAAATCAAAAGCATCCAAGCTTCCAATATAAAATGGAATATGAAAAAGTTTCAAGTGTACGACAAAAAAAACATACACTCTCCATGGTACATCAAGAACATCATCAACAAATCCAAGCATCATCATGAAGCAGATTGAAGCTAATGCCGCATTGTACTCAACAAGCCACTGCAATTACCAAACAGCAAGAGCTAAATCAACTTTCAAGAAGAAAAGGTTCAAATATGAAATTCTCAAAATGTACTTTAAAAAAAACCAATGAAAAAAAGATTTACAATTCATTTTATACAAATCCGGATATAACTTACAGAGATTTTTATTTTTAAAAAATGTATTAAAATTCTTCACCCATTGTAAATTTATATGATGTTTCAAGGTGGTATAAATCAGTATAGGAGCATAAATTGAGTAAGATGGTTTTTGACAAGATTATCATTGTTGAGACAATAAGGATATATCATGGTTTGCACACCATCCTTCGGAATCTATCTTCTTGTAGCATGGTGGAAATCAAAGCTTCTGACTTAAAATGCACAAACTTATGGCCTAAAACCTCTTTTCAAGGATCTAGATTATAAGTTAATCAAAGAAATTAAAGGAGCAAGTTGTTCCTTAAGTCAAGTATATACCATTTTTCTTTTCTAATATTTAAAATAGTAATGGTTCTTTGTATCATATCAGTATTCTCTGCACCCTGTTTGTAAGGAACAATTAAGCATCCAATTTACTTTTTTTACTCGAGGAACAATTCACAACACAATTTATCTTTCTCTCTGCTCCCCCATAAAAAGGTCAAAATAGAAATATTGCAAAGCTAATAATGCATGTAGATAAATACACTCATTATGAGAGTGTGTGTGTGTGAATGAGAAATAAAATCTATGGTGTAGGTTGTAAATTTATATAACATACATGATGTAAATGAATACAATGAACAAAATCCCAGAGCAATGCCACTGAAGTGATTTAGCATGAAAGTTATAAAGCTGGGAATTTTAATAGAAGCTAAGCATTCATGAAATTTGTTGTTTCAGCTGTAAAGTACTAGAAAGGTAGAAGATGGACAGTCTCAATGCATCCTGTACCAAACAAAACTAGACAAAGTGATATTTCTAACATCCATACGAAGAAAAAAAAAAAAAAAGTTAAAACTATCAAGTTAACCCTTCTTCCATGGTACAGTGGATTCGTGTTTATTACATCCCTAATTTTTCACCTAATAACCTTGTTTAAAAAATAAATAAAAAAAATCTTCAGAAAACTTCACATCACTTTTTAGAATGTTTTTCAATTTTATTTCATTTTTCTAAATGAAACATAGGAAAAATAAAAACAAAAGCATACACTTACATTTGAATCAGCTGTGAAGTTAAAGTACTGAAACAAGATAGCCACAACCAAGAAAACGGTCCCAACAACAATACCCAGTGACTCAGGACTGCAAAATATTAGCCTCTAATATTTAGTGCATACAGCAGTTAACAAAACTTAAGGAGGAATCGCCAAATGATCTAGAAATCAAATTGAATCAAAATGGTGAATATATTTTTAAGGAATTATAGAAAAGAGAAGAGGATTATACACTTTAATGGTGCCTTGAGGAGTGCCCCTCTTGTTGATATCGTATCCGAATAAGTTCCTTCTGATAACGTATTTCGAGGCCACGGGGATCATAGCTAAGGTTACGAAGTAACCGAGCAAGCTAATTATAGCATTGATGATGATGGATCTCCGGAGCTCCGACTCGATTCGGTAGTGGTAGTAGATCAAGTAGAAGTACGGGATTGAGAAAATTGCGGTGCATTTGAACATCAATGGAGCTTTTGAAGGGGTGATCTCCGGCTCGGACGAGGCATCCTCAGGCGTTGGAACCGGTTTAGGAACGCCGGATTCCGGTTTAGCAGCCACTCCGGCCGGTTCTTTTGAAGCTCGTTTCCTAGCTCCCATGGCTGACTCACAGTTTCTCCCGCCTACTTCGCTCCGTATGGGATACTTTCGGGCATTTACTCACTATTGTCTATTGTACTGCGTTATTCTTCGAGTGACTCAGCAAAGGCGCGAGCTATCCATTGATATTCGAACACGTAAGATGAATTTGTCATAAGCGGGGCCCAAAAGTGATGATGTGGAATAACCAACGAAAAAAATGAAATATTATCTGAACTAAATAAAAAATTTATACAACGTTTTTAGAGTATTGTATTTATTTCCTTGCCTACAAAAAGAAAAAAATTACTTACGCCCTACATCTCAAATAAGATTTATAAGGAGATAACTTAAGGTTTTGACTATAGTCTCCAGGAACTACAATTGCCAACTTATTTGTTAAACTACTAATAATAAATTTTGATAAAAGAAAATCTATTTTATATTATTATTATTTGCTCCATTTTGAAATATATGTTGGGGCCATTCAAATAACAAACAAAAATTGAATCAACTAATTTTGAAATAAAATCAATCTTGTAAAAGGTGTTAGGCGTTAGGCGGGTGCCTAGCGTCTAAGCAGCTTAGTAATTTATTTTTTTTTTAAAAAAAATAGTAAAATAGGGTGTTTCAACCAAAGCATTTTATAAGAGATTTTAAAAAATAATAAAATGCAACATTTCAACCAAAGCATTTTATAAGAGGAGCAACCGCCGAGACCGGCAATGACAAATGACCAAGCAACTCTATGTAACAAATGTGACAACGAGGCTATAGACTATGGTTGTGGCAATTGTGACGGCAAGGACTGAACAACAACGCTCAAACACTAAGACTCTATAGCCATGGAGAGAGCGACATATCACACTAGGACTGGACTTTTTTTTGGGTGGCGGGTTAGCCGATTAAGGTTGACCGAGTTGGGCACTGACTCAACCGAGCTGTCGAGTTGGGTGCCAAAAGCGTCTAATAGGCCGACCGACTAAAAGGTGTCTATAAGTGAAATTCCCTTAGGGGGTCGCATAACGCCTAATCGATGCCAGGCAAAATGTTAACATTAACACACACAAAGAAAATATGAGTATTAATTTTGTCAAACAAAATTAAATATCCTACTGTTATATTGAGTTCACAAACTTGGCCTCCCATTTGCTTCCATCTAATAAGTAATAAGACCTCCCACATCGTTTTGGATTTGTGTCCATCAAGAGTGATACTATCAATGAGAACCGGGTTCGAGTTGACGAGCAGAATCCCAGAACCCAACCACATCTAAAGCTTTAGCACAAGTCCAATTGGACAATGATCACTGCCAGCAACATCTGGGACAATGTATGAGTCATAGACCTTGTCTGCAATGGATTCTGATACGAGGAAATAGTCAAGCCTCCATCCTGTTATACACCTCCCCCAAAGCAAAGGAACGAATTGTAAAACATGCTTAAAGAAGGATGAAAGGCAAAAGATTGGAAGAAATTAGCAAAATTATCAATCATTGGCTATACAATTTGATCACATATATCAAATACTAGTATTTCCCCCTTCGACTCTTTTATAGGAGCACATTGATTATGCTCGAAATTGCCACTTCTTTTTTCATCACTCCCGACATTTCTCGTAGTGACTGAATAACCTTTTTGAATATGATGTATAAATTGCAATTCATTGTTGTACGTGCACTTCATTTTGTGGACAGGTTCCATATGGCATCCCAAACATATAAAGATGTGGTAAAATTAACACATATGAAACAAAGAAAATACGACCATAGAAGTGAAGATGTCAAAACCTTTATTAGTTTTACGTCCTCCATGCCTGTATCCCCAATAAGTATACCCAACAACACCGGGATGTTGTTTCCTAAATGTGTCTACAAATCCCCTGTTTAAGAAGTTCGTTTCAAATGATTGCCTTTCTTCATCTGTAAAACCTGCACTTCTTTTGTTTCCCTTAAGGAGAAGCAAAAGTCAGAATGATTAGTCAGAAAACATATAAAAACAAAGTCCCAGAGATGCGAAGACAGAAAGCTTATAAATGGACGTATTGAGTATGTCACTTCTCCAGTATGTTGCAAGATGGTGCCTAGTGAGGCCTCTACTTTAGATGGCTGTTAAATGGTTAAAAAACAATTGTATGCACATGAACAAGGAAGAGAATAATGATTTTGTCAACTTCAAAGACTAAAATCTTTATATTTTCAATTTTTAGTCAAAAGATCACTTAATAACAAAAATATATTTGCTCAGGTGAATGCATCTTTTCCCTCCCAGGATGTTCTTTGTATAGTTCGACTCTAAAAGTTGCACTCTGAAGAAAAAATCAAATTACCAAAGCAATTACTTACCGCAGGATTGTAGATGTCTATCTCTTCATGAGCACAATTCAGATCACCAGTCAGAATAACAGGTTTTGACTTTTCTAATTCCTATAAAGCATCATAAGCAAACCAAAGTATAACACAGTCTCAGAAAAAAGAATGCTTGGGTATGAACAGATAACTTTCCATTACTGAAATATAAAGAATAATTGGCACAGAAAGGAACAAGATATCAAGACTATCATCTATAATTCTGGAAAGAAAAGGAAAACAAAGGAGTTCCTTCTTTTGTCGACTGAACAAGAAAGCAAAGAGAAGGGTGAAGGGAAGAGAATGAGTAAAAATATTGCAAAATGAAAGGATCCTTACTTTCACATAATTGGCAAGAAAAGGATCCCACTGTGTGATTCTATATGACTGCCAAAGAAGAGTGTATATTTTTAACTTTCACGAGACAAGATAGACAAAGAAAAAAAAAAGTCATATATCATTGCAATTGATTACCAATCGTCTTAGGCCATCACCAGAATTTGGAACATATACACACAATAGATAAAAGTCATCAAACTCCACTGTAACAAGCCTCCCTTCTGAATCGTGATCTATGATGCCCAGACCATATTTTACAGAAAGTGGTTTAATCTGTCAATAAAAAGCACAACAGAAAAGTGCAAGAAGTAAAAGCATCAGAAGTGACATGAGGAAGAAGTCCTTCAATTCTTCAAACAAGCTTGCTTATAGCATAGACAATCAAGGAAAGCTTCACTTTAGGTTATTAAGAATCATATTATTTCATATTTTCAGTGCCAACTAAAGCTTTGCAGATATAATTTTCCTATAGAGAAGGGTCATATAATCCTACAGGAGAATGGTACTTTACACACAATTGTAATACAACCCAAAACAACATTTTATCCAAACATAATAAAGATAAATAGAGTGCACTATTGGCCAATACTTTGGCCTATAAACTCAGATCAGTACCCATTGAAGGATATCGTATAATTTCTTCACCTATTAACCATAATCAATGGATAGATGGGTATAATTTTGTTTAAGGAGAATCCTTGAAGTCAGGAAATAAAGTTGGGAATCAAGACTTCCAAATATAAAATTCCTGGTCAATTCTTAACAAAAGAATGAGAAAGCAATTCAATCGCATGTCAGATGTAAAATCTATGTTCTGAAGAAATTAAAATGTGCAAAATATTGGGAAAAGGGAAACTTACCCGAGAAATGATAGCAGTACCGGAATACCCAAGCTTAGAGACACTGCACGTCCAAAAGCTATTATCATATCCATCTACAAGACTCTCCTTAATTACCTTAACATCTTTTTCCTGTTTTTAAGAATTTAAAGTGCAACTGCTCAGAAGTTTGCAATTATTTGGAGAGACAGAACTTCTACCTATTGTTGTATAAAACCCACAAAATATGACAGTGCAATAACCCCATCAATTAGGCTAAACCACTAAAGTATAACTAGCCTGCAATTTAGTCTCCTGTAAGCACAAAAGATCAAAGTCTTCTCTTTGTGCAAGTTTCTTTATGCATAGGCTCTCCAACTTCAGCAAGCCTCTCAAGCCATTTACATTCCATGACATTAACTTCAATGCTTTATTACTGCCAGAAAGAGGAGGTGGCCTCATAGTTTTGGGATTGTATGCAATCCACCCATCCTGCGGCTTCTTGTGAGCAAAAATTGTCCAAGGTTCATCATGATTTGCAGAAAGATTAACACTCTCAGAAAAGACTTTTCTTTTAGCTTGTACCTTCCTCTTACCTAGATGTTGAGCCATCATATTAATTATCTGAGTCAATCAATAGATGAATGCACAAAGCAAAATACATGAGATCAACAACAGGGTAAACTAAAAGCACCTCCCACTACATTGGACTCCACCAAGAGTTCTTGATCCTTTCTTAGTTGCTCATCTTTAATCCCAATAGTTCCATCCTCAAGAGTAACTTGCTCTAATCTTTTCTTACTTCTCTTAATTTGAGAAACTTCTGAAGCAACATTTATAGTTAGGACATCTTTAGGAGAGACTCTTCTGGTGTTCCTCTTTGAAGTGTTTTCAGCAATACCTGAAAGCTTCACTTCAGGAGATACCTGATCTTCCATTGACAGGGATCCATTACCTGGATTCCAAGCAGTAAATTAGAAGTCAATCTTAAATATATTGTCTTGTGACAGCACAGAGATGAGGATGAGAAATAAAAATGCATCCCCATGTAACTGAATGAAAAAGAGGTGCTGATTCACGGGCTATATTCACGATTGAAGGATACCATTTTCTGTGTCATTCAGGAAACTCTTGAAGGCTGAGACAAGCTCATGTTTGGAACCTCTAGCAGGAATTCCAGCACTCCTACACATTCCAAAGTTAAATGGTAGTCTCAAATCCAATGGCATACTGCTGTAAATGGTTAGGCAGCCCACAAAAACCCAAAAAAAAAAAAAAAAAAAGTATTTGATCCCACATGGACATTAAAGTGAGGGAATATTTCTAAAATGACACTTATATTAATAAATATAAATAAGTAAACACACAAACATAGGAACTTCTGGTTGAAATCACAGTATTTCTAAAATAGCATTTACCTAAGCTTTAATCTGAGTTGTTGAACAGTCATTTTCTCTACACTTTCAATATCATCCACATTAACTTCAAAACCACTTTCACCACTCTCAACAGCACCCGTCTACATTTAAAAGAAGCATAGCGTAACAAAACACTAAAAGAACGTAACAAAACTTGGCGAAACCACACAGAACAATGATCAGGAAAAGCTTCTAACCTTGGCAGTGGCTTTCCCAGGCCGTGATGATCCAACACTAGGAACTTCACTCGGTTCCGAAGCAGCAGAGGAGCTCGAAAGCCGTCTTTTCGGCGCCATTGCTCTCAATTTTACAGAAAGCTCAATTCCCCGGTTCTTTGAAACAGCTGCAATACTGTGACATCAAGAGCTAAAATGGCTAAACTTTAAAACCTAAAACAAAAACCAAAGCAAAGAAATGACAGTTTTTTTAGCAATTCCTGTAAATTTTATTCTATGCGTAAATATAACCATGCGGTCATACTTTCTGACACTGAGAGAATAGCAGCACCCTATCTTCAATACTTGTACCATTGCCTATAATTCATCCGAAGCCCTGGCCGGCGGTGGAAGGAGCAGCGGCGAGGTTGAGTCCGTCGAAGGCGCCAAAAGCGAGGGAATGTGAGCGAGAAACGAAGCTTTTGTAAGTTCTAGTTGAAGGTCGAAGGCCGCGCGTGAAATTCTGAGGGAGTGAGATCAAAATGCTATTTGGACTCACCATTTTGGGTTGGGCCTCAAAAGATAAAATGGAATTATAGCCTAGAACCACACTATTCCATGGACCATGGTCTATACATTCAATCATTATTGTAGAGACCAAATTTTGTCTACTGTAAAATAATGTACATTGTGTTCAGGAGATGTATATTATTTTTGTTCTGAGTGTACATTATATTGTATAATGTACATACAGTATAAAAATAATGTACATTTAGTATATTAAAAATGTATTTTTGTTATGGTCCACATAACATTGTGTATTTGCCCCACACATTTGTGTGAACCACAAATAAAAAGTACATTTTTAATATACAAAAATACATTATTTGTATACATAAAATACATTATTTGAAAGTACATAATTTTTTTTTATATATATTATCAAATAATATATATTCAGCACACAATAATTTGCCGCAATTTATATTGTGGATTACTGATAAATATTTGTTTTTAGTATAAAATTTTTAATAATCCACCTTACGATGAGGTAAATCAGCATATCTTGCCCATAGTTAATTAGCTTAAATCAAGAAGGCCAATAATAAATTCTACAGAAAGTTGAATTTGGAATCTTGTAGTTACCAAATTAACTGTTTGATCAACTTGACGGGATTGTCTGCAAATATAATTAATTGAATATTAGCAAAATGTAAATGATAATTAGTGATGTATTCTAACTTGCAAACTTTGAAATCGAGAAAGAAATTAACAAGGCAAACAATGCAATCAATGGTCATTACCTTTTCAATAACCCTTGACTGACCCAAAAATTAAATGTCCAAAAAAAAAAAAAATCAGAATGCTTATATAGCTCTATGTAACATTGGTAATGTACAAATATTACTACACCCACTGTCAAAAATTACATTAACATCTCATCTCGATCTACCCTCTTCAATAACACTATATATATTGCAGTCTCTTCAGAAATCTGCATGCTCCATAGGGGCTGATTCCGGCGCAACTTTTCGACGAGTCTTCAGTTCTCCCTGGTTGATGAATTTCCCAGAAGTCATCAGATGAGATCCAAACTTCCTAGAATAAGTTCCCCAGAATCCCCCATGCCTGGATGCATTGTTTTTCTTAGCCCAAGCCTCTGCAATGACAGAACTGAAAACTCCAGATTCTCTCAGATGCTCGATTATAACCTGCAACACACAAGTAGACAGCAGCTCAGCAACTTCATTTTCTTTAGTCGCGAGAAAACCTGCAGCCACTACTATACCCTTTTGAGGGCGATCATAAAAAAGATAAATTAACTTAAATTGTCCAGACTGACCGGCTTAAACCAAGAAAGCCCATATGTTTGGGACTCAAAATTATAACTTTATGTTTACCAAACCAACTTGACCTACCATGGGTGAATATATGCGCGTAAAGATGCCGGCTTTGAGGAGTTTATGATTGGTTTCTTCATCTTTCCAGACGACGTGCTTGTTGTACCTGTAATGGTAAAAGAAACAGCAATACAAGTTGTAAATTGCAGGGGTGAAAGATCAAGCAAGGCTGCAGAGAAATGCAGGCATGAAACAACGTTTTTTTCCTCAAATGATGTTGATATTTTTTCACATTAACTTACATAGAAATGGGCATGGATTCTTGAGCAAACTAATAGGTTAATCAAAGAATGAAATCTGGTTGTGTATAACTATTACCAGTAACGCATTTCCTCTTCTGTTGCAGTTGAAGCTATTATAAATGCCTGCAATATAATGTGAACAAGTGTCAATCTTGATGCACAAATAATATAGAGACAATTGTGTCATCTTTGGGAATGACACCACTTTCACCACTAATTGTGAAATCCCTATACTACCATAATATAATAACCTTTTTTTTAGTACGTGAGAAATCCATAACTACTACCCAAAAGTGTGTACGGAGTAAACTCACTTTGTAACCCTAGCGGACAAAAGACTATAAGGAGGCCAGGGGTCATAAATCATAATACATCCTTTGATTACAGATAACGGGGTTCATGGTAACAAAGAGTGTGCTATTAGGGGTAACTACTTCGTAACCACAATGTTTCAAATTTGTTGCGAACAGTCTATTGACATTCTTGATTTAAGTTTGTCAGCTATAGGCTTAGCTAGACTAGTTTACCTTTGCTCATAAGGCAGAATTTATTCAATACACATAACTAGGATACAACTGATGGTTTCTATCATCACTCAAAGCTAGGAATGCTTTATTAAACCCGAAAAACACATAACTAGGATAGTGGCTGTCGGTTTCTATCGTCACTCAAAGCTAGCTAGGAATGCTTTACTAAACCCGAAAATTGAAATTAAATAATAATGTACTTACATCTCTGTCAAATTCAAGGAAGAAGCATCTCTTAACATCCTCCTTTGTAGGCTTACAACCACAACGAGCATGTCTTGAAGTCAAATCCGAGAACTTGGAATACGTGTAGTGTAGGACGACAGCCTCATGGAACTGCACCTCCCTACGACATGGAAAAAACACGACACTACCAATCTTAATTACATATATACTGAGTTTACAAAGTCATATGTTATCATAAAATGTGTGTATGTATATATGTTGTTTCAATGAGATGAGAGAAGCATCGATCCATCGTATTCGTACGTTAGGGGTTTGATGTAGTTGCTCCATCTGTGAGCGCCATTGGGACGAAGATGATCTTGGATTCTGGCAGCTGATTTCCCATTCACATAAGTCAAGAAAAAGTAGGAAGTAGTGCCAGGACATGCTTCATGGTAATGTTTATAATAAGCTTCATCTGCAATGTGGTCGCGATTCTTCTTGAACAATGACACCTGCAGGCCCAACAATGACAACAGTTTTAAATTAAGGGGTCTGTTTGACAACTCGAAAAATGTCTTTTGAAAAATATTTTCTCTTATTTCAGTGTTTGGATGCAGTAGAAAAATTCGTATTTTTGTGGAAGGTGGAAAATGACTTACTGCCAACTTTTAGCGTAAGTAGTCATTTTTCGTTAACACTCAAAACATGTTGCCTTTGCTGTCGTCGTTGTCTTCTATTCCTCAGTTTTCATCGATTCCTATATTTTTTATAATGCAACCAAACACTGAAAAGGAAAATGTCTTTTTTTTTTTTTTTTTTTTTTTTTTTTTATTGAAATGCATCTTATAATTTTCTTTTATCTACAAAAATTTTGAGGGTGGGACAACACAAGGTGTCCGAGTAATCATATAATATCAATCTAGTTTTAAGGGATTACCCTATAAAGAGAGAACAAAAAATAGTAAAAACCAAATACTATATGAAAGAACTAAACATACTTCACTAAATGGATCCTTTATATCATCCCTCTCCACAATGCTCTCCTGAAATAGAAGCCATTGTCAAGTAAGATCAAAATGAAAATTGATGAACAACATGTAAAGTTACTATTATCTCTCAGTATGTGTATATATATATATATATATTTTTTGAGTGCTACTGACTCTAGTTCAAACATACTTTTTCAACCTAATGAAGCACAAAAAGTCAACAACGCCCCCCTGAAGCTCGATCTCATGACCTCCCACTTGAAAGAGGCCACTACATGCCATCTGAGCACAATGTGTTTAGCAAAGGTGTGTTTGAACGATCGTTACAACTTCCTGATATCCTCTCTCATTTGTATACTATTTATAGCTTGTTGTTTTACATTAATAAAGTTATTGTTCATAATCTTTACATAAATATGTATAAGGGAAAGACTATAGTGTCAATCAGCACAATATCTCTTGTACAAATTCAAAGTCAAAAAGTGTATAAATTTCACATTCACTTTGGAGTGAAACATTGACCATTCACTTTTGGATGGTACTGAAGTATAAGAGTTATGAATGTCGACTGACACCTTAGAATTTTTTCATGTACGGAGAAACAAATTAAATTGAATGCAAATAATAAGTAAAATTACTCACATAATTAGAAAATACAACTGTATCAACCTCTGCAGGAACACTGGAGAGGAGTTGTTGCACAGAAAAAGCCCCAGATCCAGCAGGGTGTATAAGTTCATCAGTGTCCAGATGGAATATCCAATCCATACCAGCTTCCTTTATGATAAGAACATAAATCAATATGAACATCATGGCTAAATCAAACATATGCAACCTTAAAATAATCAAACAATATAGTATGGCCATACCCTAGCCATGACAATGGCCATTTCCATATTCAAGGTCTGCTTCACAAATAACTCGTAGTTGCATGGTTTATACAACAAAGGCCCCATCCAGCTTTCATTCCAAATCCGGCTAAAATCAACAAAAACCAAGCTAGGGTGATATCAATCATTCGAGCTTTTTAGCAATGAATCTGTAAATCCAACTGGAAAATAAAATGGAACCTTTTTGCTTGCTCCTCCTCAAGTTCTTTTGTTCTGTAGATGACAGTTACTCCCTACAAAAAAGCAAAGCAATATTCAAAAATAGATCATGGTGGCAATGAGCAAAGTCTTCAAACCAAATTAAAGACATTATAATACACAGACACAGTCACACAGATTATGGAAAAAACATAGGCAACCCTAGCGCATTTAGTCGGGTGGTTAGCTTGGTAACCACAAATTAAAGTTCCAAATTTAACTTCCAGTGGGAGTGGTCTATTAGACTTCCCGGTTGAACCGATCAACTATGGGCAACCAATTAAGCTAGTTTTCCACCTTATGGTCCTTTGTTAGCTAGGGTTACAAGGTGAGCGGACTTTACACTAAGTGCACTTTCGATCAAGATTATGAAATACATTGGTCCCAAAAGGTTGAATCCCTAACCCCAAGGGCCCCCACGCTCCGGCCCGACAGAGCATCTGGGAGGATGTAAATCATGGTAACTCAGCTGAACACAGAAACTAAACATTTGCTTACTGCGCACAAGGAGCCCCTCACTTTGGGAGGTTGTTTCCACACTATCGCTGGTGAGATTCAATCCCTAGTCATTATTTCCAAACTTC